AGAACACAGATTACATACAGGTCAGTCATCAGACATCAGTCTCAAACGGAAATTTTAAAGTCAGAGTTCATTTGGATCGTTAAACCCCAATGCCTTGCAATGCCATGGATTGGTATGAGGAGGAACCATTACAGTGGAGTCCTGTAGCGTAATGGTTAGCGCACTCATCTCACAAGCGAGAGTACCCAGGTTCGATTCCCAGGCAGGGTAAACCTTAGGCAAGTTTCCTTATTCCACATGCCTGTATACCTAGCATTAAGTAGGGTACCAGGTTGTTAGTTGATTGATGGATCGCTTTCCAAGGGAAAAATAAATAATAAAGTGGTCACTCAATCCACATCTGTTTGTGGATGTTGCTGTGTGCAATTGGTTGCTGCATTTTGCTCACAAAATACAGTCAATCCTCTTTCCAATATATTTTGTGAATCTGTTTTGAGACATCTCAACCATGTGATAAGGTGCTATATATAAGCCAGTCCAGAACTGTGTTTTGTTTGACCCTCAACTATTCTTTCTACCCCACATCAGCACCATGATCCACTCTGCCTTGCCCCACTCCGCAACATCACCTGGCTCCGCCCCTGTCTCACACCGCAGGCCACCAAAACCCTCATACACGCATTCATAATATCCAGGCTTGACTGCAAACTCCTTGCTTGTCGACCTGTCAACCTCCTCCTCCCTCCATAGGCTGCAGATCATCCAGAACTCTGTGTGTGGGATGTGGTCTGCAGCATGTGCCTTTGTGCAGATCATCCAGAACTCTGCAGCCCATGTCCTCTCCCGCACCAGGCTCCCTGACCCTATCACCCCCATCCTCGCCCGACTCCACTGGCTTCCCATTACACAGAGGATACAGTTCAAGAAGCTAGTCCTCATCTTCAAAGCCCTCCATGACCTCACTTTCCCTACCTCAGCGACTACCTAACCCCCCACCATCCTGCCCGCTCCGTCCGCTTAGCAGACTCTGGTCTGCTTCATGGTCCCCACCTCGCCCACCCCACCATCGGCGGGTGGGCTTTCTGCCACTCTGCCCCACCCTCTGGAACTCCATTGCACAGTCCCTCCATCTCACCCCCTCCCATGCCTCCTTCAAGACCCATCTGAAGACCCTCCTCTTCGACCGCGCTTTTGATCACACTCCCTCCCCCCTGCCCTCCAGCCTCCCCAATCCTGACCCCCAGCTCGGGTCTGAAACACCGACTGTACAGCGCCTTGGGACATCCTCCCGATGTGAAAGGCGCTATACAAATGTAATTTTGTTGTTGTCTATCAAACATGCAAGGATTGGGATAAGGATTTATTGCCATTGCATGTTTCTAATTTCATTACTGTGTGTGGGATGTGGTCTGCAGGATGTGCCTTTGTGAGACCAGCAAAGGCTGAGGTCAGAAACATTGTGATCTCAGGAGATCATCCACCAGCGAGATAATGAGGATGGGAAAGGAGTGAGGGAAGGGTGGAGGTGGGGGCAACTCCTTTAGCCGACCTCAACCTGCATTGACGTAAAAGAGGAGACAATGAGTGAGGCATCAGAACCCCCTCCCCAGCTTATCTCATTCACAGAAAGGCTGGCACAAGATTCAAGTTTAAAAAAAAATCAGCTTGACCTCGCCTACCCCAGTCTCCCTCCCCACCGTACACACAACAACCTGATTGACAGTCGCCTCCCCTTAGCCTGGAGTTCTCTTCCTTTGTTAGCCAGAGATTACACCAACACGATGACGTGTTGCTGCGGTTTTTTTTTTGTTGGGACGAGTGTGGTCCCGTTTGTCCAGAGACAGCGCTCGCCAGCCACAGCTACAGCCTTTGGCCAGCCCTGACCACTCTGTAGAGAAGGGGCTAGCTTTCCATTCTCTCCCCTAACCCCCAATCTCTCCCTATTACTATTTCCCACCACACCCGCCCAGTCTTTCCAATCATTATCTTTCTCCCCCATCATCATCCGCGCCCCCATCATCTTTTCTCGCAAACCCCCCTGCCCCATCACCTCTCCCCTCCAGGAAGAAAGCCTCCCCCGATCACTCAATGACCCAATTACAACAATACACCAATAAACCTAACTCAGTCAGACAATAGCCCAGCCTCCCTCAGGCAGGCAGCCAGCACCCACATCAGCCACATCACACACCCTGCCAAATAGCCCAAATCCTGCAATTGCAATCTTTTATTTTCCCTGAATTAATCTTAAAAAATATTTTGTTTTAAAAACTCGAAAAGCGAAAACCTCCCCCCACCCCCCCACCCCCCAACCTCCGGGGAGTCTGCAATCTGGTTCCTGCATTGTTCAGTCTGATGTGCAATTTCCTTCATTGTGTCTGATTTTTTTTTCGCAAAAAATCAAGTGGATTCCCTAACCTGGGACTCCACCCTGGGCTGGGCTCATTGCTGATCTGAAGGCTGAGTTTCCCGGCTCAGGGTCCCGGGATCTCGGCTGCTCTGAACCGGGAACGAGCCCAGGGAGCGACGCTCCCGTCATTGTTACAGTCTGCCATCCAGACAAAGGAATAAGTCGGGAGGGAGTGGGTGAGATCTGTCACCAGCCCAGCTGCTCAGTCAATCAGCCTCTTAATATAGAAATGAACTAAAATATCCCAAATAATTACCCTTCCTCCCCTCAATTAGACTCTAATTCCTAATAATCCCTCCAAAACCCAAAACAATAATAAATTGGTCATTTTCAATCCACGACTGTTTGTGGGACATTGCTGTGCGCAATTGGCTGCCGCGTTCGCCCACAAATATACAGTCAATTCACTTTACAGTGCGTTCTGTGAAGCGCTTTGGGATGTCCTCCCAACGTGAAAAGCGCTATATCAAATGCAAGGATTATTATTTATTTTTATTATTAATTGGGGGGAGGAATTAAGAGTCTAAGATGATATCGGGGATGATACCCCCTACCACAATTAGACTCTAATTGCGGAGAGGGTAGGTGTCCTCCCAGCACAGTTTAACATGTGCAATGCACAGCATAGACAGAATAAGATGCTGTTTTCACTCATTTGAGTACTCGGGGGGGGTCTGATGCTTTGAGTAAGGACACATGGGATGTAATTGTCTGACTGAGTCTCTTGCATCCTAATGCTCACGGGGTTTTACTTGCATTCTCTAATGGCGTTTTTTGATATTTGACCGAGTCTTTTGCAATGAGTATCCTACAAAAAGGAGGATTGTAGTATTGTCTTCGGGGAGAGATGATGAAAGTGGGGGGGGGGGGGGATGGGGAAGATAGATGGGGTAAAGATTATGAAGAGAGATTGGCGGTGGGGGGGGGATGATGGAGGGAAGAGATATGGGGAGGTAGATGGGATGAGGGGAAGATGATTTTATTTGGTTTTACCTTAGCTCCGATCTGGTTCCCGCATTGCCCGGTTTGGATGTGCAGAATCTCCCTCATTATTGCTGCTTCGCGAAGATGCCTTTGCAGGTCGCTTGACAAGAGGATGCAGAGACTGGTCGGTCGTCCGGTCGGTGCGAGCTGGGGGAGGGAGTGGGGGGAGGGGGGTTTGGCCAGAGATTCAGCCCAAAGTCCACCCACCCACTTAAGCCCCAATAACAATAATAATAATAATAATAATAATCTGTGCATTTGACCCAACGCCTCGTCACCCCTCTCAAAGCGCTTCGCAGAATACGCCGCACAGCGCGGCGACCGCGTATTCACTGTGCGGGCGGACCGCGGCAGCCGAGCGAGAAAACCCGCCGCCGCCGCCTCCCGAGCGCACGCGCGCGGCCCCGGGTTGGGCGACCGCATTTTTTTTGCGGGTGGGGGATGGGAGTGAGGGGGGGTGGGGGGGGGGGGGGATAGCACGTCAGGTTACCGCTTGCCTCCTGCGAGCAGGAGGGTGACCCAGTTTAGGTGCGGGACCACTGCCCGGCCCCGAGGAAGCTGTTTAAACACAAGCTGTTGTAAGCCGAAGCCCGACAGAGTGGGGCGGTACTAACCGGACAAGCGGCGCTCGCTCTCTCTCTCTCTCTCTCGACGGCGGGCGAGCGAGCTCTGCGGTTTTAGCAGTTGCCCCGCTGCAGGCTCTGGGGTGTCCAAGCCTCGTCTCTTGCCGGCCCCCGCGCTTAACGGTGGGCAAAACGCAAAATGCCGCAGACGCCGAAACGAGAAAACGGAGGGAGCCGGGAAAAGTCGGCAGGTCAGGCAGCGTCTGCGGGGAAAGGAAAGTGAGTCAACCCAGGGTCTGGTCTGGCCGTTCTGGCGAAGGGTCTCGGACCCGAAACGTTGACTCGCTTTCCTTTCTCTGCAGATCCTGACTGACTGGTTGAGTTTTCGCAGTTCTCTCTGTTTTTTGTCTGCGCTCAATAGTCTCAGGGATTATGTGTCCCTCTGGGGTGAGAATGTGCATTCCAATGCCAGACTAAAGGAAATGGTACTCACGTAGAACTCTTCGGTGCTTAAGTTTGGAGACTCGGGAATGGTGATGGAAGGAGGTGTGGTGGACAGCCTAATGTCACCCACAGGGGGGTTAGAATCACAGCTGAGTGAATTGCTGTTAAATATTTGCCTTATTTTTGGGGTGGTATCACAGTGTAGTGGAAGTGTTTCAGGAAAATTATCGTAGTACTCTTCGAGAGACAGGTCGCACTGTAGTACTGAATTTAACAGGAATGCAAATACTACAGCTTTGTGCCAAAACGTGTGTTTTTATCTGCTGGATTTCAGATTATTGACCTGGACTTGAAGAGGAACCAGAATCGAGAGGCTCTGCGTGTGTTACGAAACAGCATAAATCAATCCGGTAAGAAACAGCTGGATCAGGGAGTTAATTATGGAGCAGAAATGAGATGAATGGTGGGATTGAGCTCTGCAATGTGGAGACTCTCTGAAGATAGCACAGATGGTGAAGGATGTTGAAGAGAAGTACATGCTTGTTTGCGTGAGTTTGTAACCACTGACATGCTTTGTCGTTCTGTATTAGGTAACGTGATGGTCTGCTTTGGAAACATGTTTATCAAACTCCCCAAGAGCAGAACCAAGGACATGATTCAGAAAGGTTAGTGCTGTTCTCGGAAATGACTTTAAGCATCCACTAATGACAACAGGTGTGTCAGCCTGGCTCAGTGGTAGCACTATCACCTCTGCGTTAGAAAGATGTGGGTTCAAAGCCACACTTCAGGACTTGGAATCACATAGGAGCTGACACTCCAATACAGTGCTGAGGGTGTGTTACATTGTTGGAGGGGTCGTCCTTCGGATGAGACGTGAAACCGAGGTCCCATCTGTGTCTTCAGGACGTTAAAGACTCCATGGCACTATTCGAAAAGAGAAGGGAGTTCCTCTCCCAGTGTCCTGACCAACAATTCTGCAAATAAACAAGTGGTCCCTCAATCCATGAATGCTTATGGGACACTGCTGTGCACGATTGTCTGTTTTGCCCAAAAGATACACAGTCAATCTACTTTACAGTATATCCCGTGAAGCGCTTTGATACATCTTGACAATGTGTTGATAAAAAATGTCGCAATTCTCCCAATGTTTCAATTAGTAAAGTCAATAGCCATGAAGATAATACTATAATAATATTTTAATAATAATAATCCTTGTGTTTGATAGAGTGCCTTATCGATATACTGTAAAGTGGAGTGACTGTATTTTGTGGGTGAAACTGAAGAGCAATAAATGTCCCAGTTTTGATCCCTGACATATGCTGAGGGTTTTTCTATGTTTGGGAACATAGGCACCATTTTTTTTTAGTTTCTGAAGCCAACGCTTCACTATGAGTGCACTGTGATATGCCATTTTCTGATGGAAGTTTACTATTGTATTTACTCTATTTAACTTAATTGCTTTTGTTCTGTACAGACCAGGAGCAGTTGGATAAAGAAATACAACAGCTGCGTAACCAGCTCAGGACAAAAGTGAATAATTTAAACGAAGCTCAAGGTGATTTCTTACCTCTTACTGTAACATTAGATCTGAATTGTGGCTATATTCAAAACTTTGTGTATGTCTGGAATAATGGTGGGGTGAGGGAGAGAAAGAACACATTTCTTGAGGGAGTAAAAATGACAAGACTCTCCCAGGATACTTATTATAAGCGCACATCTCCACCTTTACTGACCAGTAGAAAGGTGAGAGGGACAGTGGAAGGGAAAACTGCTTAGGGACATGTCAACAATGTGTGATTATTTTTTTCCAAAAAATTTGGATTGTAAAAAATATAAGCAAAGAAAATAAGCTAAAAAGTTAAGTGTTTAATGCCGGGCTGTATTTTGGTGCTATATTGATCCAGCATAACCAACCATATCGTTTTTCCCCCCCACAGGAAAACCTGAGCTCAAAGGGTTCGATCTTTCCCCTCTGACCCCGGATGAAATTCGGGCCATTGGAAAGACGATGAATAGTTAAGAGCTATGCTTCACTTTTAAATTATCCTCGAAGAAACCTGGCTGATGTTGCCGTGATTTGATGATTCGCAATCATTTGGATTCCAGGGCTCACCTTGGTAAAATATAATGGAATCTTTGGAGTCACTCAATCTAAAGAGATCTCTGATGTGGCCTGACCACTGAAAAACACTGCTTCAGAGGAACACGGTGCTGATTTGTGCCAAATGCAGTGCTGTGTGGTATGGACGGAGAGGCACTCGTTCTTGAATATTGAATACTCTGTATTGCTTAAATATTGAGGCTCGAGGGTCTTCTGGCATTAATGTGGATTCGGAAATCGATTCCCTATGGACATCTGTCTTATTTGCCTAACCTTGCTCAGCAGTTTGTATAATAAACCTCACGTATCAGTTAAGACCATTCATTTATTATGACTTATGCAAAGTCTAAAGAATGTCAAACTTGCGGAGAATATAAACTCTTGAATGGCACTTGGGCTGATGTACAACTTAGGCGATTGTACGATTTACCGTAGATCAGACTTTTACTATATTTTTTTGCTATATTAGACCAAATTATTTAAATATTGAGTGCAGAGTTACCACAGGCTCTAATAATCTCTGTTTCCGAAGTGAATGCTAATGCATTCAAACAGACATTTCCTTTTCATAGAACTATACAGCACAGAAGGAGGCCATTCGGCCCATTGTGTCTGTGCCGGCTCTTTGAAAAGAGCTATCCAATTCAATCCCACTCCCCCGTTTTCTCCACATAGCCCTGCAAACTTGTCCTCCCCAAATAATTACCCACATTTTGTGGGAATGTTCCAACAGATTTCCTTCATGGAAATTTCCAGCTGTTCACAAATGAGGATCAAGTGTAAACCGAGCCCGATCCAATCTTGTTGGTACTATGTATTATTATGACCATGTTATTTATTGTAATGTAACAATCTAACATGAAATGTTGATTCACTTCTAAAAGGATCTGTATTGATAAACAAATAAAACTAGCTAAACCGATGATGGGAAATGTAACAACAATAATAAATTGGTCATTTTCAATCTACGACTGTTTGTGGGACATTGCTGTCATTTTCAATCTACGACTGTTTGTGGGACATTGCTGCCGCGTTCGCCCACAAATATACAGTCAATTCACTTTACAGTGTGTTCTGTGAAGCGCTTTGGGACGTCCTCCCGACGTGAAAAGCGCTATATCAAATGCAAGGATTATTACTATTATTAGTCCTGATATGATAGTATTTTTCTGCAGCAGTGAGTCAAGCTGGATAAACTCCAGGTCAGAACTACAGAGGACTACATGACCATGGTTTTGATCAGCTTCCCCCGTCCCCCAGCTTGGGTTCCCAGCCATCAGTGTAAAATGCTTAAGACACATTCCCCTACTGTGAATGGTGCTGTATACATTGCATTCTGGGCATAGGTTTTGTTTTAATTGATCAATACATTCAGAAATTGGTCACTCACTGGATGGTTGTTTGTGGGACATTGCTGTGCACCAACTGGCTGCCGCGTTTCGCCCACAAAATACACAGTCACTCCACTATAATTTACCCTGTGAAGCGCTTTTAGACGTCTTGACCATGTGATAACCCGCGATACCAAATACAAGGATTATTAATGTTAATACCTGATCGGAGTCCTGTAGCTCAGTGGTTAGAGCACTCGCTTTGCAAGCGAGAGACCTGAGTTCAATTCCAGGCAGAGGGCGAAACCTTGAGCAAGTTTCCTTACTCCACACAGAGCCTAATAATAATCCCTCCAAAACCCAAAACAATAATAAATTGGCATTTCCAATCTACGACTGTTTGTGGGACATTGCTGTGCGCAATTGGCTGCCGCGTTCGCCCACAAATATACAGTCAATTCACTTTACAGTGTGTTGTGTGAAGTGCTTTGGGACGTCCTCCCGACGTGAAAAGCGCTATATCAAATGCGAGGATTATTATTATTATAATTAGACGTGAAGTTCCTATCAATAGGCAGTAGGTCTGGTGTTGTGCCGCATCAATAAGTACGGACGAACATTATGGCTCCAGCTCCGGGGAAGTAATATTTGAGGGGGGACGACAGAGCGGCCAATTTGGGTCAGTGCGTAAGTTGACTATTATCATTTACCGATGACGATGACGAGTGCCCACAAAACGCAAATGGGGGGGAAGAAGAAGGTTTTTTTTTGCAGATTTAAATACTATTTTTTTTTTGGGCGCATTAATCAGTTTGAGGTGAAATCCCTGTTGGGAGCGGCTCCAGTCAACAGTCCCCCCCCCTCCCCCCCCCCACTCCCCCCCCTTCCCCACTCCCCCCCCCCCCTCCCCCACTCCCCCCCCCTCCCCCACTCCCCCCTCCCCCCCCCCCACTCCCCCCCCCTCCCCCACTCCCCCCCTCCCCCACTCCCCCCCTCCCCCACTCCCCCCCCCCTCCCCAACTCCCCCCCCCCTCCCCAACTCCCCCCCCCCTCCCCAACTCCCCCCCCCCTCCCCAACTCTCCCCCCCCCCCCCCAACTCCCCCCCCCCTCCCCCCCCCTCCCCAACTCCCCCCCCCCTCCCCAACTCCCCCCCACTCCCCCTCCCCCCCTCCCCAACTCTGGTGATGATGTGTCTCGACGAGGCCGGAACTTTTGTCCCGGGTCCGTTTCTCCCGGGGAGCGGGAGGGGCGCCGGACTCGCTTCCGCCGCTGCGGCTGTGCACCGCCCCCTCCCTCCCCCCCTCCCCCCCCTCCACCACTTCCCCACGTGCGCTCTCCCCAGCGCGAGCCGAGCCATGGCGGGTCTGGACTTCGTCCCGACCATCGGGGAGGACGAGGAGGTTCCCGAGGAAGAGGAGACGGGGTCCGAGGAGGAGGCGAGTGAGGGGGCGAGTGAGGGAGGGGGGGGGAGGAGGGGGGGCGGGAGGGGAGACTGTGGGGTGGATTACAGCGGTCCTGCCCCTTTGCTATCGTTTCCGAGCGCTTCACGGGACGACACTGTCAAGTGTAGTGACTGTGCGTTTTGTTTAACCCCCCCCCCCCCACCACGTTGTGCGCCTGGAGACGCCTCCCTCAGCCCTCGGTGCTGGGGCAGGGAAGCGCTGCACTGGGGTTGGGTTGGGATGGGGATGTGTTACCCCCCCCCCTCCTCCCCCCCCGGGGTGGGTGTGGGGGGGGTGTTCCCGGTGTCCTGGCCCACGATCTCCCAAATGGAAAGGGTCACTCGCTCCCCCCCCCCCGACTGTTTGCGGGACACCGCTGTACGCCACTGTCCCGCCGGGTTTCGGCCGCAGGGTATACGGTCGATGCGCTTTGCAGTGCGTCCGTCCCCGAAGGGCTTCCCGAGTCGTCTCGATGGCGCGATAGGGCTCTCGGTGTCAAGTGCCATGGAAGGTATTTATCTTCTGCTGGAAAAGAGATGGGATGTTCAACAGCGACCACGACCGCAGCCGCAGCAACGAATTGCATTTGCGCAGCGTCGTTTCACATCGGGAGGGTGTCCCGAGGCGCTGGATGGTGAACGGTTTGCACCCGAGCCGGGGGTTGGAATCAAGAGGGCAGAGAGGGGTGGGGGTTGGAGCATGACCGAAGGCACGGTCGAAGAGGAAGGTCTTGAGACGGGCCTTGAAGGAGGCGTAGGAGGGGGCGAGGAGAAATCCTGGCCAAACATCTTCCAGGTGTTTGGGTTATTCACCAAATGGCTATTGGGAGCCTCTGGTCTGCAGCCGTGTTTGGCTGCACAGTCACTACACTCCGTGGCAGTTACCACTGAAGTACTTTGAGGCCGTTCAAAATTTTATCAATTTACATACTATATATATATATATATATATATAGTGGTAGTACTTTTCACTTTTGAGTCAGAAGATTATGAGTTCAAGCTCTACGTCAGGTCTTTGAGCTCACAGCCCAGGCTGTCTCTCCAGAGCAGTGTTAGGGTACATTGCTGTGCCGTCATTCAGGTGAGACGTTAAACTGAGGTTCCACCTGACTGTTCAGGTGGACATTGACGATCCCATGCCGCTTTTTGAAAAAGGAAAGGAGTTTCTCTCTCCCTGTGGTCCTGGCCAACAATCCTTCAGGTAAAATTGGTCGTTCACTTCATGGCTGCTTGTGGGACATTGCTGTGAGCAAACTGGCTGCCGCGTTTGCCCACAATACTCAATCATTACACGCCACGGTAAAGCCTGTGAAACGCTTTGAGGTGCCTCAACAATGTGATTAAGATATCTATTTCAAATACAAGGATTATTTATGTATTAATACAGCCTGATTTTCTTGCTTTGTTTAGGAGCCAACGGTGGTGTTACTGAAGAGGAAGAGACTTTCAAAGAAACAATGCGCAGATTTCAGCGACGATTTTTTCTTCACAGAAAAGGATGGGGAATGCAGCGAGGACTGGGTGATGGCCGATGTCCTGAACCAGCTGAAGAAAAGGGTGAGGGTTTCGGGGAGGCGATGGAACGGGGAATGAGTCTGCCCAAACCCCGTGATTACCCTAATCCTGCTGAACTCCCCAGTGACCATTGTTTCCCTATTGAGGGAGCTTTGGGTCGCAGGTTGTTCGATGCTGGAGGGTGTCAAGACACCTTATTCTGGCCTCACCCGATATCCCATTTGACATTGTTATAATAATTCTTGGCAAGTTCCTTCCTGGTATCAGCAGTCTTTGTACAGATTTTAATTTTCTTCAATATGGAGGCTTGTTTCTGGAGCACTGGGTGGAGTGATTGTGGCACCAGGCAGGGTATCTGCTTCCCACAATTATGAATCTCTTTCTCTGCCCTCCTTTACCTCGTCCACCCCATTTAATATGCGTTCAGTCTTTGTGAGCCTGGCGAAATAGGTCTCTTGTTGAACATAGAGTTGAACAGCTCTCAGTCAACAACAACAACTTTCATTTATATAGCAGCCCTCACACAGGGTAGCATCCCAGAGCTTTTGACTGATGGAGCAACAGGAGGGTGGAGCTGACTGTAGGCAAGGTTGAATAGGAAGGTCCTTCCCCAAGCTTGATCTCGCTTCCTTCTCTATCTTTAGGTCGTGCTGAAGGAAGGGAGTCAAGCTTGGCACCTATGTTGAGAAGCCGGGTGCAGTGTTAACCCGGCTCCTGGACAATACTTGTTGTGTTCTTAAATTAGTCTTTTGCTGCGGTCAACCTGAGTCAGTTGGTATCGCTCTCACTTTTTAAGTCGAAAGGTCAAGCCCCATGTTAGAACAGAGTCCAGGCTGACACTCCAAATGAATGTTGGGAGGTGCTGCTGCATTGTCAGAGGTGCCATTCTTCAGATGAGATATTAAACCGAGGTCCTGTCAGCCTGTTCAGGTGGATCCTCTGAAGTGCTTTGTGATGCCTTGACAAAATGATAAGGCGCTAATATCAAATGCGAGGATTATTATAACTAATTTCTATGTCTAATCTCAGAAACCAGCAACAACTCTGGATGAAAAGATCGAGCAAGTACGAAAGAAAAGAAAGAAAGAGGTCAGTTTTTTTGCTAGCTTTTTCATAGCAAAACCATGAGCGAACATTTACTTTTTGTCTCTAACCGAGTATCGCTTTGCGGTGGCAAAGCTCGACAAAGCTGTGGTACTCAGTAACAAGAGTGAGCTTTCAGCTCAAGTGTTTCTTTTGCTTTTTAGGAGAACTCTGGAAAAGCAGCAAAGAAAATAAAGTCAGAGTCTGGAGAGGACACTGAGCTCAATTCTGACACAGCAAAGCAAGGGGAGGAGGGAGATAATGGGGAGGAGGAAGAAGATGCCGGTGAGGAGGAATTGGATGGTGAGAATGAGATGGAAGAGGGTGACGAAGATGGTGAAGATATTGAAGACTCTGAATCAGAGTTCTCCTCTGAGGACATTGATGTGTTACAGAAAGCAGGTAAATGTGCAGGCAAGCCCATTGCCATTGGGTTTCCCACAGTTCGTCTATCGGGTTGAGAAGTTAACCGAAGGTCCCGTCTGCCTGTTCGGGTGATGTTAAAGATCCCATGGTACTATTCGAAAACAGAAGGGAGTTTCTTTCTCCCAATGTCCTGACCGACAATCCCCCGAATAAAATTGGTCTCTCGCTCCATTGCTGTTTTTGGGACGCTGCTGTGCACAAATTGGCTGCTATGTTTTGCCCACAAAATACACAGTCACTCCACTTTATCATATATCCTGTGAAGCTCTTTTGAGACGTCTCGACAATGTGATAAAATGACAACGTGAATCAAATGCAAGGATTATTATTATTCTCATGCACCATCACACTTGTATTTGTTCTGCCAATGTGCTCACTGACCTACTGTGTATTGTTCCACAGACACTTTGAAAGTGAAGGAGAAGCGGAGAAAGAAGAAGGCAGGGGCTGAGCCGGTGAGTCTCAGTCCAGGGAATGCAGGTTTTTGTTTGTTCAGCTGGGTGTCCTACACTAGAGGAAACCCATCACCATGCTTAAGGGTATCCAAACCAAGCTGAGATTTCCGTGCATCCCACCTACACATGGAAATTACAGAGATAGATTGTTGGAATGGAATGGGCACTCTCTGCCTGGAGGGACACATCATGCTTACCTAATTCCCGGAAAGTGTTGGGCGCAGGTTGGCAGGAGCCAACCTTTGGGGACCCCAGAGTGTGCATTGGTGTAATTGCTGGAGTCTAACCAGCTAAAACCGCATAGCTTGTCATTGAGAGCACTGTCTGGTAAGCTTTCCTACTGCTTGTCCAGCTAGGGCCACCCTAGTCAATAGGGTTTTGGCTGCAGAGTTAACAGTTGCAGATTCAACTCCTGTTGCTGCGCATTAAGAGTCATTTGCTTTGCCCACCAAGCTCTGCCCGCCCTGTTGCCCCGCTTTGGCACTCTGCCCTATTCCACTCTGTGTGTGTGTGTTACAGAAAGCAGGTTTCACCCTCTCTGCATGTAAACCTTTGTTTTTTGTTCAGCCAAGTTTTAGTTTATGGACGTGACCTCGCTGGGCGGGTCGTAAACGAAGAGTAGTGGGGAGGGTGGGGGGAAGTATAGAGTGACTGATGGAGGAGGAGGGCAGTGGTCAGAGACCTGACTGGGGGCTGGTGGGTGTCAGCTGATGATTGTCGCAGAGACTGAGAAGCTGAGGGGAAATGGGAGTGAGTGGAAGTTTGCGGAAGTAGGAGGGGAAGCATAGTGCAAGTTGGGTGATATCCAGGTTCAAGGCATTAACTCTGTTTTCCTGTAGTTCTTTGAGGATGCTCCACAGTTCGACGACAGCCTCATGTTCCCGGACATGAATCTATCCCGACCTCTGTTAAAGGTACGGTACTTTAGAACCCTATCGTTCATGGAGCACAGGCACCACCTCTTCTCTCTGTCACCTCAAATGTTACCCAGATGGATTGGGATCTGATAGGATAAGCCATGTGGGGGCAGGAGAGACCCATCATCACTGCAAGTTGCTCCCCCCCCCCCTCCACCATGTTAATACCGTGTAGTCTAAGCTGACACTCCATTGCAGCACTGCAAAGGTATTGCCTTGTTGGAGGTATCATCCTTGGGATAAGATGTTAAACCGAGGTCCCGCCTGCCTATTCAGATGGATATTAAAGATCCCATGGCGCTATTCAAAAAGAGAAGGGAGTCTCTCCCGGTGTCCTGGCCAACAATTCTCCAGGCAAAATTGGTCACGCATTCCATGGCTGTTTATGGGATATTGCTGGGTCCATATCGGCTTTAATCTTCACCTGCAGTCACTCCACTGTACAGTAAATCATGTGAAGCACTTTCAACAACAACAACAAGATTCCATTTATAGAGCGCCTTTCACGTCGGGAGGACGTCAGTCATTCTTCCAATGTGAGAGGCACAATACTGAAGGCACGGGTTATTATTTCCATCATCAGATGCATTCTTGCCTATTTCTTGATAGCTGTCTGTATGGCAGAGTCATCATATCCAGTCACTGACTGAGCGACACAGAACCCAAAGGTCTTGGTTGTTGCTGGATTCCACCCTGGCTTGTGCTGAGTTAGCTGATCTCAGAGCAGGGTAGGCTTGGCTGTGATATGCCCTGTCTCTGCGTCTTCCCACAAGAACCAAGTGCAGAATGACCACTTGGGTGAGGTACTGGAGGGGGTCGTACAGGGCTTTATAGTTTCTTTCAAGGCGCTGGGACGTGCTCCCGACGTGAAAGGAGTTATACAAATTTAACTTCTTGTTTTTGTATAATGAAGATTTCTATACAGCTTATCATTATGTGAGCAGTTTATCTTTTAATTGAATATGTACAGTATCTACATACTTGTGCAGTGCAGGTCTAGGTGAATGCTGAAACAGAGTGTGAGATCAATGGTTCCAGGACTGGTTTTGTTTTGTTCTAACCGTTTCCTTTCCTCTGTGTGTTTCTGTTTTTAGGCGATCACATCCATGGGTTTTAAGCAGCCGACCCCCATTCAGAAATCGTGCATCCCCCTGGGTTTGCTGGGCAGGGACCTGTGTGCTTGTGCTGCTACTGGCACAGGTACGTGCTCACTCCATAAGGCCAGGCCTGTAACCTGGTGATAATCCTGACCCAGAGATGGGTACCTGTCAGAGAGTCGTGTAACGTACTGGTTAGAGCGCTCGCCTCACAAGCAAGAGGACCCAGGTTTGATTCCCGGTCAGAGAAAAAAGTTAGGCATGTTTCCTTACTCCACACGCCTCTGTTTACCTAGCAGTAAGTAGGAACAATAATCCTATAATAATAATCCTTTCATTTAATATAGTGCGTTATCACATCTTCAGAACGTCTCAAAGCATTTCACAGAATATACTGTAAAGTGAATTGACTGTATATTTTGTAGGCAAAACTGGATTGTTAGTTGATTGGCGGATTGCTTTCCCATGGGTAATGATCCCTACAAAAAAATGTACAAAAAATAATAATAATTTCTGCGACTGTTTATGGGACACCTCTGTGTCACCGCAATTGTCTGCCGCATTTCGTCCGCTGGTTTCTGCCAGTGCCGTTAACAAGTAGTCTAGTCTTCTCGAATATTCCCTGACACCAGGTTACACTGCTGCTGCCTGAGAGTGTGGATGCTGCAGCTTCTACACAATAAACAAAGTCACCCACCCATGTTCACATTGTGCGAGTGGCCATCTTCGGATATGAAGGGTAACTGTTAGAATCCTAAACTGGGTAGTTGTCACTGATTTCCTGGAGCAAATTCCCAACCTTGGCAGATATACGTTCCACTTTTACCAGCAACCCTTCAGTGTTAGAAAGCCATACTAACCTCTTGCTCCTCTCGCTCTCCTCAGGTAAAACCGCTGCCTTCATGCTGCCAGTCCTGGAGCGTTTGATCTATAAGCCACGTCAGGCTCCGGTTACCCGGGTGCTGGTCCTAGTTCCCACACGAGAGCTCGGAATCCAGGTGCACGCCGTGGCCAAGCTGTTATCACAGTACACGGCCATCACTGTCTGTCTCACTGTCGGTACGTTTAGATTACATCGAGGGGTGTGGGTCAGGACTGTCCGGGTCCCTAGTACAGTAAGGAAGCTTTTTGTTGTGTTTAGGTTTGGGAGTGAGGACCGGACATTTTTCTTTCAGTTTGAGATGCGTCACAAGGATTATATAGTAGAGAGTTGCAGTGAAATTAGGCTTTGAATACAGAACAGTATAAAAATAAAAATAATCCTTGCATTTGATATAGCGCCTTATCACATTGTTGAGACTTCTCAAAGCGCTTCACAGAATATACTGTAAAGTGAATTGACTATATTTTGTGGGTGAAACACCCATTCGAAGCAGTGAACTGTCTAAAATATATTTTTCAAATAACTTTATACTATCCTGTGGTCGGGCATTGTACCGCAGAGATGCCATTGTAGCGCTTGTGGTACTGAGTGGTTCTGAGGGTCCTACACCCCGCAGTGGGTTAGCATAGAAAGATCTGCCTCTTCAGTTTATAAATTTAGGTCAGGAGAGATGTAAGAGGTGTGATGAAAGCAAGGTTAGCCTTTCCTCTGATGTTGCTCAGTACCTGAGGTGTGCTGTTACTCTCCAGGTGGACTGGACGTAAGAACTCAGGAGGCGTCTCTGAGGGCAGGACCTGATGTGCTGATTGCCACACCCGGCCGGCTGATCGACCACTTACACAACTGTCCGTCTTTTGACCTCAGCAGCATTGAGATCCTCATTCTGGACGAAGCAGACAGGTAATGTGGGGGCAGAACAGCCACGGGGATGTGTAGGGGAGTGAGGGCAGGACTGAGGTGAAATCTGTGCAGGTGGGTAATGCGGGAGATGATGGCAAATGAGTAAAATTCATTTAGAATGGGGGCAACGCAGGCTCAGGGAATTAAACACCTACAACTCAGCTCCTGTCCTTAACTTTGAGAGTAATACAAAGTATTAGTTTCCATTGAGAGACTACCATTGAAAGCCTCTCTCTCCCCCCCACAGATAGCTGAAATGTTACCTCTGTCCCCGAGTTTAATAGATCAGTCCAGAGATCTATATGTTTGTGTCAGAGATACCCTTTTCCCCGCCCCTCCCTGTTTCTGAGCCTCCATGGAGCCTCTGATTGAGGAGTATCGACAGGGCGGGCAGGTTAGAGACCAGACTGAGTGGGGATGTGGCAGAGATCAGTATGGCTGCTGCTGTTGGCTCGACTTGCCTCCGAAGTGAGTGGGCACTGATCTGAAGATGGCTGCCAAGCAGCCACAATCACATGAGCCACATCCACCAAATATTAATGTTATTTTAACATTGCACACAGAATATCAGAGGGTGAGAACAACAGAACGTAAACCTAAACCATTACTGTTACTTTATATAAGTGCCCTATTTGATACAGAAAATTGTGGATTCCTTCCTTCCTTCCTTTTTTCTAATCTCTCTGTCTCTCTGTTTCCATTTCTCTTTCCATCTCCTTCTTTACATCTCTGTCTCACTTTCTGTCTCCTTCTTTCCATCGCTCTCCCCCCACCCCCCCAGAATGCTGGATGAGTACTTTGAGGAGCAGATGAAGGAGATCATCCGGCTCTGCTCTCACCAACGACAGACCATGCTGTTCTCCGCCACCATGACCGATGAGGTACGTTAATTTAACATTAACTATTTTCCTCCAAGTTAGAAGATTTCATTTGACTATACTACACTGACCCACGCCCTCATTCACTCCCTTGTTCTCTCTCTCTCTGTCTGTCTGTTTCTCTCCTGTCGTCATGTAGGTGAAAGACTTGGCGTCGGTGTCATTAAAGAATCCAGTGAAGATCTTCGTGAACAGCAACACCGACGTGGCACCGTTTCTCCGTCAGGAATTCATCCGAATCCGCCCGAACCGCGAGGGGGACAGAGAGGCCATCATTGGAGGTAACCATCCTGGGACCTGGGTGGGGCCACTGCCCTGTGGGGGGAGCCACTCGGCAGGTTAAACCGAGGTCCCGTCTGCCTGTCCAGGTGGACATCACGGATCCCATGGCGGAGGCTGTTTTAACGTGGAGTATTGCGTTTGATGCAATGTGCCCTGTGTTTTCGTGTCCGCAGCCCTCCTGACCCGAACCTTCCTTGACCACGTGATGCTGTTCATACAGACCAAGAAACAGGCACATCGTATGCACATCGTGCTGGGGCTGATGGGGCTGCGGGTGGGGGAGCTGCACGGTGACCTCTCCCAGACACAGCGACTGGAGTCCCTGAGGTGAGCCATGAGGTGACTGGTGTCAGTAATCCAACTCGGGATTTCCTGTTCCGTGCTTCTTGGTCCCCTGCAGTCTCAGATGTTCATAGATTATTACAGACATGGGCCATTCAGCCCATCAACATGGTAGGCTGAATGGTGTTTTCTTAACATGAGCCATCCCATGAAATCCCGATAATTAATGGGATAGAAAATTAGAAAACAATTGAACGCACTGAATTTAAAAAGCTTTGTTCACGTCTCCATTTAAATGCACACTGTGTGTGTGTACATTTAAGCACTCTTGAGACGCTGGAAAGGCACTATGTAAATGTAAGTTGTGTGTGTTAGGGTAAATACTCTGTTGAACACTAATTGTTTAGACTTATATTTGGAATCCTGTCACATGGTGCACTCGCTTTGCAAGCGAGAGGACCTGGATTCGATGCCTAGGCGAGGCAAAATCTTAGGCAAGTTTCCTTACTCCCGCATCTCTGTTTACTTAGCATATAAAAAAAATTGGTCACTCAATCCACGACTGTTTGTGGGACACTGCTGTGCGCAATTAGCTGCCGCATTTCGCCCACAAAATATACGGTCAATTCACTTTGCAGTATATTCTGTGAAGCGCTTTGAGACGTCTCAACGATGTGATAGAGTGCTATATATCAAATGCAAGGATTATTATTATAATATCGTGTGTGTTTGTGCTAACAGGCGCTTCAAGGATGAACAAATTGACATCCTCGTGGCAACCGATGTTGCTGCCAGAGGCCTGGACATCGACGGGGTCAAAACCGTAAGTAACTCAGCAACAGAACATCAGATTGTGGGAGGAGGGATGGTTCATCCATTCGCTCATGAATGCTCGTATGCAGACCTTGACGTGTGCAAAATGGCTGCCGTGGATGTTTCCAAATACAGTCACTTATCTTTCGGCGAGACGTTTTGATGCGACGAGGGTCTGTGAAAATGAAAGTTTGTGGAGCCGGGGTTCGCTGAGGGACGTTCTCTTGTCTCCCTGCCCAGGTCATTAACTTCACGATGCCCAACACAGTGAAGCACTACGTGCACAGAGTGGGCCGCACAGCGCGGGCCGGCCGCAGCGGGCGGTCCGTCTCCCTCGTGGGGGAGCAGGAGCGCAAGATGCTGAAAGAGATTGTGAGGAAAGCCAAAACCGCAGTGAAGGCTCGGGTCATCCCCCAAGGTGAGCGGGATGGGGGGGTGGTCAGACAAATTGGGTTACTCAATCTATGACTGTGGGACATTGTTGTACGCAATTGTTTCGCCCACAAGATATACAAGTCAATATACTTTACAATATACTCGTCCAACTCCACTGGCTTCCCATCACACAGAGGATACAGTTGTTCAAGACCCTGGTCTTCGCCTTCAAAGCCCTCCTCGGCCCTGCTCCCCATTCTGCCTCTGTGACGACCTAACCTCCTACCACCCTGTTCGCTCCCTCCGCTCAACGGGCTCCGGCCTGCTTCACGTCTCCCACCTCGCCTGCCCACCATTGGCGGGCGGGCTTTCAGCCACTTTGCCCCCACCCTCTGGAACTCCATCCCGCAGTCCCTCTGCCTCATCCCCTCCCTTATCGCCTTCAAGACCTGTCTCAAGACCCTCCTCTTCGACCGTGCCTTCGGTCACCCTCTTTTCCCGCCTGCCCTCCACCCTCCTCGATCCCGACCCCCAGCCTGAGTCCAAAACACTGAACGTCCAGTGCCTTGGGACATCCTCCCGACATGAGGGGTGCTACACAAATGTCATTTTGTTGTTGAAGCGCTTTGAGACGTCTCAACAACGTGATAAGTGCTGTATCGAATGCAAGGATTATTATTAATAATAAATATTAAACAGATCAGAACGCAACTGAGCACAACTCCACCCTCCACTAGCAATGCAAGTGCTTTTCCCTGACAACGATGCATGTTGTGTTTATGGACAAAGCAGTTCACTCAGTCACTTACAGTAAATATAAATGCAGCATGTGTATCCAGATGTTTCCCTGTCCTCTACAGTTACTTCTGTCTAGTTGCTTACCCTCCCCCACCCGTCCCAGCTCTCACCTCCCCCCTACACACACACACACACACACTCACTCTGACACTTTTTTTTCTCTCTCTCTGACCCTCTCTCCTCCTCTCCTGGCTGTGCTTTCTCGAACCCTCTTGACCTGTCCTCTCACAGAGGTGGTGATGAAGTTCCGGGATAAGATTGAGAAGATGGAGAAGGAGATTTACGCTGTGTTGCAGCTGGAGAAGGAAGAGAAGATGCTGCAGAAAACCGAGGCTCAGGTATGTGATGTGACAGTCCTGGCTCAATCACATTCAGTTACTGCTAACATCCAATGAGACAAAGCTGAGTTTGATAACATCTGTAACACAGCAGTGAGTTTTGATGATGTACATTGCAAAATGTGTAGTGATTTTTATGGATTCCTACAAACCATACTTGTACCCCATGCCACTGTGAAGAAAATGTACCATTTTTTCCTTCAGTTTTCTGTCCATCTCTCCCCAAAATCACTATCCATTTTGCCCTATCCTTTCCTCGTTCTCCTTCATATTCCACTCTTTTAAATCTTGCCTAATTCCCTTTAAGAAGCTATTATGGATTAAACATCCACATTCCAACTATCTTCCATTGTAAAATAATTCTAACCTCTCTCGCTCTCTCTCTGTTTCGCTAATGAGGAGGCAGCACTCGCACTGACCCAGATCTGCTCGTTCCCTGCAGGTGAACACCGCCAAACGTAAGTTGCAGAAGAACGAGGAGGAGGAGAACAGACCAGATCGTGGCTGGTTCCAAACCAGAGAGGAGAGGAAGAAAGAGAAACGTGAGCTTCCGCCTGAGATCCCACGGCCTTTCAGTATTGTTACAGTAACATTACTGGAGGGAAGTGGGGGGGGGGGAGAGAGAGGGAAGGAGAGGTGGGAGGGAGAGAGAGTGGGAAGGGAGCGAAAATGGGGACGGGGAAAAGAGAGGGTCGGGGTGTCTAATTGGCAGCTCGCTCCTCTGATAAGTAGCGACACTTCCTTCCCCTCGCACCTCCCTGTCTCTTGCTGGTTGGTTGGCTGTTTGTAGGGAGAGCCCCAGTGTGAACAAGCTGGTAGAGAGCTGAGCTGCTGGAATGTCAGAAACATTGGGGGAAAACGTCAAACTGACCTGTTCAATGTTTCTCTTAAACCAGTTTACTCGCTGGCTTTAATCCTGCATTTCCTTCCCCAAACCCAGTTGCGAAAGCCCTGCAGGATTTTGACGTGGCCTTGAGAGGGAAACAACGCCGGAAAAAGTTCATGGACAACATCAAGAAAAAGGGGGAGATGACGGTAGGTTCCCGAGGCTGTCCAAGGTCGTTGTGCGTGTCTGTGCTCAGGATCCCCCTCAGCCTGATCCCCCTCAGCCTGGCTCAGTTGGTAGCACGTTCGTCTCTGGGTCAGAAAATTGCGGGTTCAATTTTCAACAGGTCTCGCATTTCTTCGGGCCCACGGGGAAACTCCCACGAGAATCCTGACCTATTTGCCAACGCTGCCTCACCAGCGAGATGGCACGCTGTGGGCGTTCCGTGAGCTGCCCAGCTGCAGCGTTGGTAAACATGCTGGGAGCCTAGCAGGAAATTAGTAATACATTACGAAATGCACGAACATTCACTTAGAACTGGCCTCTGAAAAGGGCGTCTGTATACTGACCGGGCTAACGACAAAAATGGCGGTCACTAGTTGCCTTAAGACAGGTGGTTGCTGAATAGAGGTGGTTTACTATGGAAAGTTGGTCAGAGCTGTTCCAGGCAGGATGGTTGTTGACAGCAGGTGGTGGGTGCTGAACAGAGGTGCTTGACCATTTGTAATTAGGAATTCTGATTTGGCTTAAGTGAGGATCCCTTATGGACACTGGGACTGTCTGTCACTCGCTGATGCTCTGAAAGTTGAGAAGAATTTCTGTCAATTAAGACGCTGTTGATGTGGGTTTGTTTTGTGCTGCAGGGGGAGGACAGAGCGCAGTTTGAAATCCTGAAATCACAGATGTACGCAGAGCGGGTAGCGAAACGAGCGCGGAAACCGAAACGAGCACGCTTCATGGAGGAGGAGCCGAACACGGCAACAGCTGGGGGTGAGTGCACAAGGGGGAGCCAAGCTGCGGTTCTATTCCTGGGGCACGACTGTCACTTCGTCTCTGTGATACAGCGGCCGTGGGAAACAGCGTCAGCCTGAAATATAATTTTTCTCTTTTCTTCCCACACACCCCCCGCCCCCACAGGGAAAAACAAGACGAAGAAACCAAAGTCCATGTTCGATAAGGAATTGACAAACACGAGCCGCAAGGCCCTTAAGCAGTACCGAGCCGGGTGAGTGTTGTGAATGTGCCAGGCGGGCGGGCCGAGGAGCCGGTAACAAGGCTGTGCGGAAGGAATGGTAGGGAGTGCGGCGGGACAGACGGTGTGGGTGCACGGCGGAGGGGTTTGTGGGTGCGTGGGGCAGGCTGTGTGGTTGTGTGAGATGAGTGTTTTGCAGTTTAAGTAGAATTCATTGTTCTCGGTTTTCTAGTTTAGAATCACGTACACAGCTCTGGTATTATTCCACCCTCAGTTCTCAATAAGTACTAATTTAAGATTTGGTTCCTCCCAGGCCATCGTTTGAAGACAGGAAAAGACTTGGAATACAGAGGAAAGGAGGTGCCTTCAAATCCAAGTCTCGGTGAGTTTGTTGATATGAATGGTGAAGGAACAAATGGCTTCCTTCCAGTTACATAGCACTTTGCCTGTCTATATTGGCTCGCACACAAAACAACAACCCACAAAAGCAGCAGTGGAGAAATGAAAGATTTCGAGATGTTCACCAGAGATGGGATTTTTAAATCGAGTGTGATTTTCCATTCCTGGTCTCTCTTGTGCTAGAAAGTCCAAGAAAGACGCCATACAGGGTGAATCACAAGTCCTCGCTCAGTTTTTAATTACTGATGTTCTTTTTTAAACACAACATTGGTAGAGAGTGTGCAGCTATTACAGGAGATGACTTTCAATGCATTCATGAAAGTTTTTGTCACCGAGTTATGTGTAAACATCTACATGGCACTGTCACTTTGAAAATCTCATATACACCTGAATAAGGACTTTTGCTTCACCCTGTATAAATACAAGTTGTTGTTGAATAGTCTCTAGTTACACAGCCCAACAGGGAGCTTTTCACTACATCCTCACCCGGCTCCTTTGACTTATCACCCGAGTTCAAGATCCTCATTCTACCTTCTAACTCCCTCCACAGTCCACCTCTGTGACCTCCTCAAATTGTACTGACCTGGCTACTCCCTTTGCTCAACCGGCACCGGCCTGCTTTCATGTGCCCTGCGCTACCATTGGCGATTGAGCTTTCAGCCTATATGGCCTTGCTCTCTGGAACTCCATCCCTCTGACTTGCTCCCTCCCTCACCTCATTCACGGTCTGTCTTGGGACCTATATCACTGACCGCAGTTTGTGTCACTTTACCCCTCCCAACCTCCTCGGGTGCAAAGCCAAGATTGTTAAGCGCATTACCAAGTCCTGCCAACATGTAAATATAAATTTGTATTTACGTAAGAATAACCACTTGGTTGAAGTGCCAGCAGGACTGTTTCTCAGCACAAGTGCAGTTTTCAGGAGAGGGGAGAAAACAGTAATCTCAGGATCTAACATTGGTTTGTACTCTGAAAAGGCTGATGTATATTTTGGGTAGGGTGCAGTAATTATCAAGTGTAATTTTGCAGCAGTAAACATGCCTGGTTCAGCAGCAGGTTCCTGACCCTGTGCTTTTGTTTCAGGTATAAAAGGCGGTGAAGTGAAATGAGGGATTATAATGCAGCCATATCCAGAGATGAATAACACGACTCGCTCATGCCAAGAGGCAATTTCACTCCTTGAGCTTTCCCCTTTCACAAATGGGTTTGTACAGTATTTTGGTGGGTTTGATTTCTGTCCAGCGATGAAGAAACCATGACCATAAATAACTCTTGATAACAAAGCTGGCACCAGGAGACATCATCCTCCCCCTCAGCTCCACCGCAAGTAAGATGGCTACAAGTCAGAAACCCCTTCCATGTACAGGGTGTTTACAAAGTCCTTACCCCCCCCCCCTGTTACAAAACAGTGATACAAGCTCAAACAAGTTGTCAGAGATTCATTTCACTTCGTCACTCAATCCATGTTACAGAAGTTGTGGCATTGAACATGGCGCCGGATCATTATCAGCTCTGAAAATAGTGGCGCTCACACACACTGATCCTCTGGAGTCTAAATAGTTAAATACTTGTACTGACTACAATTATCATGATTCAGTTGTTGGACAGTGCACTGTCAGAAAAACACATGGAGTAACAGTACTTTGTGAACACCCTGTACTTCTGCTGCCATAGCTCCAGCTTTTGTTGTGGTTTCAGGCTCCTGGTAGATTGGGATGTCAGCAGAGAGGATGCTGATATGTAAGGCTGTTTCTTCTTAATCTCTAGTGTAAAGCTGGTTAATTGCTGATTGCTTTCCAAGATGTTTATGTAATCTATTTTTATTGACACAAATGTGTATTGTCTAAACAGTATTGATGGCATTGTGTAAAACTGACTTAACCCACCTTCAGTGAATTAACATGACTAGATATTTTATATCTACTCTGAACAACGGTAGATGATGTTCTTTCATGTGTGCTATAACAACACAGCCCGACTGCTAATAAAAATTCTAAACTTAACCATTTTGTAATTGAGAAAACAGACTACACACTGTACCCATGGAGCCATATTTCATTGACTGCCACGTTCACCTACAAAATACATTTTACATTCATACAAATCCTAGAAAACATTTTGAGACATCCCCCCACCCCCCCGGACATGACAGTGTCACAGGTCTTGCTCATTCATTCCCTTCAGAATGAATTCCAGACTTGTATTGGGTCAGATTAAAACACTCAACAGGCACTGCTGCTGCAGAAGGAAGAACTCTATGCAGTGACAGTGAATCAACAATGGAATCTGATGTCAATGCTGGTGTGACTCAACTAACAATTCTAAGTTAAATTATAGCCGGAAGATTTCTCAGCCACTTACACTACAAAATATAAAAACTTTCAATTTTTACCAAAACATTTTAATAAAAATCTCAAATATTACAACCAGTTTTTTTCAATAAAAAAAAACTAAGCCCTTCTGATACAACCTGCAGTCCAATAAATCTCCTGGTATTTAAGCTCCAGCCATCACACAACAGCACGATTCAGAAAGTTGGATTCGACCCCATCAATATAGCTACACCCGTGGACATCAGGTGTATCCAGTCCAGATAGCTCGCTTGCTTATTCTCACGGTCGCGGTGGGCGCATGCCAGGTGGAAGGGGACCTAAGAGGGAAGCTACGCATGTTAATAAAGACACACACAGGCCAACAAAAGGTATCTCACCCCCTTTTGCAATTAAGATTCAACACCTCCCCCCCCCCCTCGAATTAGCTTCTTACCAAACCCCTCACTTCGGTCTCGCTATTAGGAAATGCACAACAATAGTCCTCATTGAATGAGGGGAGAAGGCTCTGATGTACAGGTCAAAATGGCCTCCCGAAATACAGATGCATTTCAAAGTATTCTCTGCTGCTGCATGTGTTATGGGCTCGGGAGGAAATCAATAGAATTCCTAAAGCCAACTGTGGACACAGTTTAATGACTATCAGGCACATGGAAATGTTGGCATTCCTGTGGGTGAGTTATAGAGTTAACAGCATGAAGGCTAGAGATAAAGCTTGAACACAACATGCATTTCACTCTGTTTACCCATTCTACAACACCTATTCTCTTGATTTCTACACAGAATTTAACATGCGTTTTAAGCAACATTCCTCACTCATCTTACCTCTCATTCCTGGTGGAGGTGGCCTCATTCCTAGAGGCATTCCCATTGGTGCCCCTCGACCAGGAGGCATCCCCATTGGTGGTCCCATTGGTGGTCTCATACCAGGAGGGGGTCCCATCATACCTGCAAACACACGAGAGTCAATACTGAGTGACAGCGCACACAATCCTTTACATTTCACACAGCACAGATCAAAGCAACTACTTCACAAGCGTAGTGCTATGGGGTAAGAGCAAGGGAGTGGAACTCGTTGGTGGGTCTTTCAAAGAGCAGTCACAGGCACGATAGGCCAAATGGCTTCCTTCTGTACTGTGTGATTCTATGATACATCACAGACACATGATCACATCATTCTTAAGTGTTCAACAATCCTAAGGCTGATCAGAAATGGCTCTGCTATACCAGTATCTCCATACATCTTGTGCAACTAAGATACTCCCTGAAGGCTTTTCATCGCTCATTCAAAGAACCATTGCCGAAGCTAAATGATGCCAAACCAATCTGGGCTTCCTGCCCCAGTCAGTGCTAGGTTTACCGAGTGACCATCAGCAGGATTATTCGCAAAAAGGATCACCATCAGGTAGTTTATTCATTCATACAGTCATTGCGAGTACAATGTACGAGATCACGGCTATAATGGTTATAATGAAATACACTAAGAGTTGACGTGGTCTTAAAAAAAATCAATAATTTATTTCAAAAATGACCTCATCCAGACTGCCGACAGTACTTCAAATCAATGTAATAACTTCTCTCAGATTGGGTCATGCTTCATGTAAGCTGAATCATCAAATTCAGATTTTTGGCGGCTTTTTTTTTAAAAAAATGTTAGTTTGTGTCTTTTCTGGTCCTGCCCAATCCCAAATTCTGACGATACATCCCACCTTAACCTATTCTTTCCAGCATATTCTTTTGTTTCTGCATTTCTATTAGAGATTCAGTCATGTTCTCTGTAGAAAAGGATATTCATTTATTTTAGACCTTGTTTTACAGCATGCTCATCTCCTCCCAAACCAGATCACGAGAAACCTTCCAACAGGGTAAAGACAACATGCTCTTAAACTAAATTTAGGCTCAATTTCTTCATAAGTGGAACCATGGTTTAGCCCACAAAACATGCAGTCAATTCACTTTATAGTATACTCTGTGAAGCGCTTTGAGATGTCTAGAAGATGTGATAAGGCGCTATATCAAATGCAAGGATTACTATTATCCCTGCGGCGGGGCCTGGTTTTCAGAAGAATGCTTATGGTACACCCTCAAAAGCTCAGCTTTAATCGTCTCCATCATACTGTATACCAATAACTGTGTACCTGGTGGGGGGGCTCCTCGTCCCATTGGTGGGGGTCCTCCTCGGCTTGGGTACTGCTGTGGTGCTGCTGCGATGCTGGACGTAGCTGCAGCTGCTGCAACTGTGCCGCGGCCTTGTGGTGTCATCACCTGTTTAATCAGCACAGATCCAATCAATACCACCAGCGGCAACAGATATACAGCACAATGCCACCGTGTGCAGAAAATACAGCATAATAAAAATAGCAAAATCTCCCTTCGCTCTTACGTACCAGTCACTGAAATCACACATCCCTACATGGGATTCGATGGCAAGTCCGTTATGATTCGAGCATCGCGCACACAAATATTTCAGACCCTGACCTGCACGAGACTGCTCATAGCTCACGCAAGCCACGTGCGTGCCAAGATTACAGGGTGTGATTCCTGCTCTGTATCGAGTCATCCAGTGGTTAGCACCATCATAATTGTCACCCCTGAGCTGGGGGTGGGGAAGAGAGGTTTCTCTGTCCTCGTTATTTATGAGGGAGCATCATTAGAAGATCGAGGTCTATGAAATTCCAACTCACGATAGTCGGTTTCACTGCACATACACACAGCGGCCACTGTGATCGGGTCACTGCCAATGTCTACGGCCACATATACGCAGTGAGTGGTGCCCACACTTCGGTGGTGTTGTAATCACCCCAGCGCTCTTAACAGGGCTACCTACACTGTATTAAACCTTGTTGGATATTGAACAAGCACACAATTTGGCCAATCGTCTGCAACAATCATTGTCTAAGTTCGCACATGACAAACAGCCACTTGTACAATGTTCTAACTTTGCTAAAACTACAATTTAAAAAAAAATCCACAGTATAAATTTTGAATTGTATTAAAAGCAATAACCTGCAGCATTCAGATTACATGACGTAAAAGTTAGTCATTTTAGCTTCTGAATTCCGATTCCTGTGAACCATACACAAAATACAAGAGTCTCTCCTGCCCGAGGAGAGAATAGCAAAAAAAGGCAATGACATTATATATGTAAACTGATGTTTTAACTGAAAAGCATGGACCTGGGGAAGCAGAGATAAACCAGGTCTTATAAAATAAACAACAGCAGAAACGAGTCTTACCTGCTGCGATGGTCCTCCCACCCCTCGGATAGGCCCTGCCAACCCGGCTGGTGCCTGTGGCATTGGTGCCCCAGCAGGTACCCCTCTGCCCGCTGCACGGCCAATGCCGGGACCTCCGGCTGCGCCAGCCAGAGGCACGCGAGCAATACCAGTCTGCAATTACAATGAGAATGTCAGAATCATCCAGAGAACCCACACAGCAACTGTTACATAGGCAAACACAAGAAATAATAATAACCCCGGCATTTGATATAGCGGCTTATCACATCGACAAGACATCTCACAGCGCGTCACAGAATACACTGTAAAGTGAATTGACTGTATTCTGTGCGTGAAACACGTCTAACAAAGCAATGATCCAGCATCATTTTAGGAGATCCTGCCCACGACAAGTTCACTTTTAAGGGTGTTTGTTCTGAACCTAACCAGGAGGGTGGCTTACATCAACACAAGTGCTGCTTTTTATAATAGCCATTAGGGCAGGCAGGTCAAAAAACTTCCATTTTCTTCAGCCAATCTCTGAGCAAGTGATTAGATCACCAAACTATCACCAGCTGCCTTAATGTCACCGTAAAAATTCCAACCCATCCCCTTGCCATTCCTTTACTGCCCCACTGTCAAGAATCACAAGTTTCCACCCAGGAGACATTGTGGCAGGGTTCCTGTTTGCATTGAAGCACCTGACTGGTGACACGCTTTGGGATCTCGCACCAAGTTATAAACAAAACAAGACATTCTAAGGATCAATCTCTGCTACAAATGATAAGTGGTCACAGCAAAGCCCATTTAGAATCAATGCTGTATGTTCCAAGAAAGGAAGTAGAAAAATCTGGATAAGCTAAAAGAACTCGGTGGTAGACAGTAACAACAGCACCGGGTAATTGTGAGACTCTCTGGAACTTCATCCCAAAGTCCATCCACTTCACTCCCTTCCTGAGCTCACTGAAGGTCAGCCTCAGCATATACCTTTTTTGGGTCATCTTTCCCCTCCCCACCCCCCTCAGCTCGGGCGAACAGCCGACAGGTGGAGGCGGTGGAGTTTCAGAGGGTGGGGCAGAGCGAGATGTACGATCAGAAGTGGAGGCAGTGTGAGACGTACGATCTGAACCAGTCACGGACAGAGCCGTGAAGGTTGAGGGTCTGCATTCAGCTATTCATTCACTCAATCAGTTGTTTGAGACTGGGGTCTCCTGTTATGCCCACATACCATACCAAAGTTCAGATACAGGATTCAATGGCAGGTTTTGAATTTCTTTCTGTATTAAAGCTGCTTCCAGCCAGGCCTCCACTGAACACAGATACTTACATCTTTTGGAGGAGGTCCTTCCACTGTCATGGAAACGAGGGTTTCCCCTCGAAGTAACACCAGCCCAAGAACACGCTTCTCCTCCCGTTCAGGTTGTTTGGAATTCTTTGGCCTTTAGTGATAACAAAGAATGAGTTTCAATGGCAGACTTTTATCAGCCCCCACTCAGCTCCAACCCAACACGAGGGCCACCGAGACCCTCATACACACATTTATAATATCCAGGCTCAACTACGCAAACTCCCTGCTTGTCAGCCCCTCCAACTCCTCCCTCCATAGGCTGCAGATCATCCAAAACTCGGGTTCCTGTGTCCTCTCCCCACCAGGCTCTGTGACCCTATCACCCCCATCTTCAACGGACACCACTGGCTTCCGTTTACACAGAGAATACAGTTCAAGATCCTGGTCCTCACCTTCAAAACCCTCCATGGCCTCGCTCCCCCCCTACCTCTGCAGCCTCCTAACCCTCTACCAATCTGCCTGCTCCCTCTGCTCAACGGGCTCCGGCCTGCTTCACGTTTCCCACCTCGCCCGTCCCACCATTGGTGGGCGGGCCTTCAGCCACTCTGCCTCACCCACTGAAACGTCATCCCGCAGTCCCCCCGCCTTGCCCCCTCCCTTGCCTCCTTTAAAACCCGTCTCAAAACCCTCCTCTTCGACCATTTTTCGGTTACCCTCCTTCACAGCGTGGGAATTCTGTGCAGGAATTTGGTGAGAGTGGGAATTCGGTGCAGACTAGGAAAGCAGTGCTTAATTATAAAATATATAATATTTATATTAAAATAATATAAAACACATCTGGGAATATAGCAGGGTTTCTGAGCTCAAGGAGAAGCTGGAGTCACCATACAGGAGGCTGAAGAGTTCATAGATCGAACGTTTCAGGAGGTGGTCACCCCACAGCCACAGAGGGTTTCATAAAGAGAGTGAGTGGATTGACCACCCGGCATGGTAGGAAGAGGGGACGGGTAGTGCAGAAATCCCCCGAGAATGTGGCACTCACAAACCGGTTCTCTGTACTGAATACCAGTGTGGTTGATGACACTTCTGGGGACAGGAGTCAAAAACAAATCGATGCACAGGGGGACACAGACACAGCGTTGAAATCATCACAGAACGGGCGCAAAGCATTCTACAAGCGGAAGGGGCACATCCAGAAGTCGTGTTCCATGTTGGGAGCCGTGACACGGGGAAAAAAAGGGCAGAAATCCCTATATGGAGAGTATCAGAAGCTAGAGAAAAAGCTTAAGAGTAGGATCTCAAAAGTGGTGATCTCTGGATTACTCCCAGTGCCTTGTCGGAGTATCAAAACTGCAGGATCAAACACATGAATGCGTCTGGAGGAATGGTGCAGAAAGGAGGGCTTCAGGTTCCTGGATCATTGGGACTAGTTCTGGGGCAGGTGAGACCTGTACAAGGTGGATGGGTTACACCTGAACAGCGCTGGGATCAATGTCCTCACAGGGAGGTTAACTAGTGTTGTGCGGAAGGGTTTGAACTAATTTCAATCAGGATGTGGCATCAGAGAGGAGAAAAAAGTTACATATAAGACTAGAAGAGACGAATAGCAACGCAATAAGGAGTATTCCAGAAAAAGGGGGAAATAGATGGGAGAAATGCAGAGCAGACTAAGTTGGTCTTGCAGTGCATGAGCGTAAATGCGTGGAGTTGACAAATAAGATTGGTGAACTACTGGCTCAATCTGCCACATGGAGTATAATGTAGTGGCAATAACGGAGACCTGGCTCAAACACGAGCAGCAATGGGATATTCCTGGCTATAATGTATTCAGGAGGGATAGGGAAGGGAAAAAAGGCGGTGTGGGTGGCAATATTGATTAAAGACACGGTTATGGCCCTGGAAAGGGACAATATGCTCGAGGGTCCAAAAACAGAATCTATTTGGTTAGAGTTAAGAAGCAGAAAAGGAGCTGTTACTCTGTTAGGAGTATACTATAGACCACCAAATAGTGGGAAGGAGATAGACGAGCAAATCTGTAAGCAGATGTCAGAAAGATCCAAAACCAATATAGTGATAATGGGGGAATTTAATTATCCTAACATAGACTGGCAAAATAACAGTGTAAAGGGCAAGGAGGGGCAAGGATTCCTGAAATGTGTGCAGGATAACTTTCTAGATCTGTATGTTTCCAGTCCAATGATGAAGGAATCAGTGCTGGATCTAGTTATGGAGAATGAAGTGGCGCAAGTGGAGCAGGTTTCAGTGGGAGAGCATCTGGACAACAGTGATCACAACATCATTAAGTTTAGAGTACTTCTGAAAAGGGACAGGTAACAATTAAAAGTGGAGATACTCAACTGGAAAAGAGCTAATTTCAGTGAGTTAAAAAGGGACCTGGCAAGGTGGACTGGAAAAAAGATTGGCAGGTAAAACAGCTAACAAGCAATGGGAATCCTTAAGGAGATGATAGTTCAGGGACAGAACAAATACATTCCCACAAAGGGGAAAGGGCATCCAAACCTCCCTGGATGAATAAGTAAATTGGGATTAAAATAAAACAGAAAAAGGAAGCTTATGATAAATGTCAGGTCCAAAATTTAGAAGATAATCAAATAGAATATAGAACGTACAGTGGAGAACTTAAAAAGGAAATAAGAGGGCCAACGAGATTGTATGAGAAAAAATGATCAGATAACATAAAAAGGAACCCCAGGGTATATTTTATAAGCATATAAAGAATAAAAGGTTAGTCAAAGGTAGGGTGGGGCAAATTAAGGACCAAAAAGGAAATCTTCTTGTGGAGGCAGATGTACTGAATGAGTATTTTGCATCTGTCTTCACAAAAGAGGATGCAGTATTGGAGGAGAGGTTAGAGAAATTGGATAAGAATGAACCGGGAAGAGGTACGAACCTCCGCCCTCCACCCTCTCCGATCCCCAGCTTATAATAATAGTAATATTCCTTGCATTTGATATAGGGCTTTTCACATCTTCTAGACGTCTCAAAGCAGTTCACAGAATATGCTGTAAAGTGAATTGACCGCATGTTTGTGGGTGAAACGCGGCAGCCAATTGTGCACAGCAGTGTCCCACAAACAGTCGTGGATTGAAAATGACCAATTTATTATTGTTTTTTGTTTTGGAGGGATTATTATTTGGCGTGTGGAGTAAGGAAACTTGCCCAAGGCTTCGCCCTGCCTGGAATTGAACCCAGGTGTCTCGCTTGCTCTAATCACTGAGCTACAGGACTCCACACTGATTGTACAGTGCCTTGGGACATCCTCCCAATGTGAAAGGCGCTATACAAATGTAATTTTGTTGTTGTAAAAAGCCTTTCTTACTTGATCTTCCTGAACTCATCGCAGTCACACAGGATAAGGTTCATGTGTTTGTCGAATGCTTTGAAGGTTCCGATAAAGATGCGTCCGTCCTGAAGGATGCACCGCATTCTGTAGTCAATATGCTGAAGCATCTTACTGCTCTTACCCACCGTCTGAGGACAGAGATAAACACGTCACACTCAACACTAACTGCTCCAACGTAACTGAAACTCTATAAACAGATCACTGAGGACATCAGCAACCATTCAGCGGTGCTCAAACCAGTTTTTACTTACCAAAATCACTGTTGTCACTAGACATATTCAGCATAATTTGTAAATACATAAGAGGCAGGAAAAAAAAACACTTCAACCATTATGTTTTAATGTGTGTGATCCTCTTAATTCATCTCAACCGAATGCTCCCACCAACAGTAGTTGGCCTGCAATATATTATTTATATATTATATTATTTAGTTCAAATTGCTCGCTCCAAACACTTTACTTACCCTTTCATTGCTGAAACTTTGGTACCAAGTACTGACACCTCATTGAACATAACTGAACAAGTTTATTTATGGGACCAAGTTCTATTAACTGATTAATAATAATCCTTGCATAATTTATCACACTTTCGAGACATCTCAAAGCCCTTCACAGAATATACTGTAAAGTGAATTGACTGTATATTTTGTATACAAACAGTCGTGGATTGAATGACCACATTATTATTTGGGAGGGATTACTCCCCCTTATTATTGTATCATTTTAATTGTTATAGCATAAAATGATTCGCTGCAAACAAAACAGGGCTTCTGCTGCTGTTTGGCGATCGCTTTTGGGAAGCTCAATTAGAACCAAGGCTGTGGGGTCCTGTAGCTCAGTGGTTAGAGCACTCGCTTTGCAAGTGAGAGACCTGAGTTCAATTCCAGGCAGAGGGCGAAACCTTGGGCAAGTTTCCTTACTCCACACAGAGCCTAATAATAATCCCTCCAAAACCAAAAACAATAATAAATTGGTCATTTTCAATCCATGACTGTTTGTGGGACATTGCTGTGCGCAATTGGCTGCCGCGTTCACCCACAAACACACAGTCAATTCACTTTACAGTGTGTTCTGTGAAGCGCTTTGGGATGTCCTCCCGACGTGAAGGATTATTATTATTATTATTATTATAAGTAATATTCTGCCCATCGAGTCTGAGTGCAGTTCTCTCCGCGTTAGAAAGTGGAATCTCCCAAATGTAATGCCAACGCAGAGCCGCAACATACACAGGTGCCATTTGTGTCTCTCGTGAGGCGCTTTTTGGGACATCCTTCCAACGCAAAAGGCACTCCACCAAACGGAAGGATTATTATTAAGACCCTCTTCACAGGGACATGAAAGAGGACAGTGCTCACCATTCTGGTGGGCGCTGAGCGAGCGAGAGAGTGAGGGTGAGTGAGGGTGAGAGTGAGTGAGTGAGGGTGAGTGAGAGAGAGGATGAGAGTGAGGGTGAGTGAGTGTGAGAGTGAGTGAGAGAGAGGATGAGAGTGAGTGAGAGAGAGGATGAGAGTGAGAGAGTGAGAGTGAGTGAGAGAGAGGATGAGAGTGAGAGTGAGTGAGAGAGAGGATGAGAGTGAGAGAGTGAGAGAGAGGATGAGAGTGAGGGTGATAGTGAGTGAGGGCGAGAGTGAGAGAGTGAGGGTGAGTGAGTGAGAGGATGAGAGTGAGGGTGAGTGAGTGAGGGTGAGTGAGAGAGAGGATGAGAGTGAGTGAGGGTGAGAGTGAGTGAGGGTGAGGGTGAGAGTGAGTGAGAGAGAGGATGAGAGTGAGGGTGAGTGAGTGAGGGTGAGAGTGAGTGAGAGAGAGGATGAGAGTGAGTGAGGGTGAGAGTGAGTGAGGGTGAGAGTGAGGGTGAGTGAGGGTGAGTGAGTGAGGGTGAGTGAGTGAGAGGATGAGAGTGAGGGTGAGTGAGTGAGGGTGAGAGTGAGTGAGAGAGAGTGAGGGTGAGAGAGAGTGAGGGCGAGAGAGAGTGAGGGTGAGAGTGAGTGAGGGTGAGAGTGAGTGAGGGTGAGAGTGAGTGAGGGTGAGTGAGAGTGAGAGTCAGTGAGGGTGAGAGTGAGTGAGGGCGAGAGTGAGGGTGAGTGCGGGTGAGTGAGAGTGAGAGTCAGTGAGGGTGAGAGTGAGAGTCAGTGAGGGTGAGAGTGAGAGTCAGTGAGGGTGAGAGTGAGAGTCAGTGAGGGTGAGAGTGAGAGTCAGTGAGGGTGAGAGTGAGAGTCAGTGAGGGTGAGTGAGGGTGAGTGAGAGTCAGTGAGAGTGAGGGTGAGAGTGAGTGAGGGTGAGAGTCAGCTCAGCGGAGCTCTCAGGCCCTTCGGCGGCACAAACAAATGCCATTTGTTTCAAGCCAACGGATCGGATAGATTTCTGCCGCGAAACAGTATCTCGGGACAGGTGTGTAGTTCGGGACAGGACGTGTCGAGCGGCTGCCGGTGGGGGCGGGGGAGGGGCGGAGGGGGAGGCAAAGGCGGGAAGGCCTTTCCCGGCGCCGCGCTCTCTGCGCTCTCGGCCCCAACTCCCCTCTCTGCACCGAGTGCCTCTGCCCGACTAATGGCTAATGGCGGCTGTGGCCGGAACACCCACACACACCGACACACGGCAACGCCGACCGCCAGACCCCCGCGGCCGCGCGAACACAAAATATCCCGCCGCCGGCCCTGCTGCGGGCCTGGGGCTGCGGCCCGGGCTGTCCTTACCATGGCTGCGGGCGGGATGGGCTCACAACCCGACGGATTCACGCGGACCAACGAGGCCGCAAAAAAATATTCCCGCGGCACCGGCGAACCAGAGCTGCGCGCGGGGGAGGCTGGGACAGAGAGTGCGTTGCGCCGAGAGGCTGCTGGGACGGAGAGGGACTGCTGCGCTGAGGCTGCTGGGACGGAGAGGGCCGGCTGCGCTGAGGCTGCTGGGACGGAGAGGGCCGGCTGCGCTGAGGCTGCTGGGACGGAGAAGGGCGGCCCCCTCTTGGTGGACTGGTCTATTCTGCCCGGGAGGCGATGGAGCTGTGTGTGTGTGTGACAGTCTCTGGGGGGCGCCACAGGCCCCAAGGCCCTGGACAGAGTGTTGGACCCGGGCTGAGGGTTGGGGAGGGGGAGGGGAGGGCAGGCGGTGGGGTGGGGGCGGTCAAAGAGGAGGGTCTGGAGATGGATCTTGAAGGTGGCGACGGAGGGGGGGGGTCGAGGCGGAGGGACTGCGGGACGGAGTTCCAGAGGGTGGGGGCAGAGTGGGGGGGGAAGGCCCCGCCAGCCAGAGGTGGGGCGGGCGGGCGGGCGGGGCCGGGCCGGGGGCCGCGGAGCGGGGCCGGAGCCCGCTGGGCGGAGGGGGCCAACGGGGCGGTTGGGGGTTAGGGGGTGTGGCACAGGCAGTGGGGAGCGAGACCGTGGAGGGCTTTGAAGGCGAGGACCAGGATCTTGAACCGTGTCCTCCTGTGCGACGGGAAGCGCCGGGGGAGTCGGGCGAGGGTGGGGCTGAGAGCGGTCGAGGGTGGGGCTGAGAGCGGTCGCGGGTGGGGCTGAGAGCGGTCGAGGGTGGGGCTGAGAGCGGTCGCGGGTGGGGCTGAGAGTGGTCGCGGGTGGGGCTGAGAGTGGTCGCGGGGCCTGGTGTGGGGAGAGGGCCCGGGCTGCAGAGTTCTGGATGACCTGCAGTCTGCGGAGGGAGGGGGGGGGCCGACAAGCAGTGAGTTTGCGTAGCGAGGCCGTACCATAACCAGTGGTATGTGTGCCGTAGCCGTCCTCCTGACGTGAAGCGCCTTGGGACGTCCTCCTGACGTGAAAGGCGCTTTATAAATGGAATCTTGTTGTTGTTGTTGATATGATGGAGGTGTGTTATGAGGGTTTCGGTGGCCCTCAGATACTGTACAATATACTGATACACTGTAAAGTGAATTGACTATATTTTGTGGGTGAAACATAGCAGCCAATTGTGCACAGCAGCGTCCCACAAAGTCATGGATTGGGTGATCAAATTATTATTTTTTTAAGGGATTATTACCCCCGTAAAAGCGATCCGCCAATCGACTAAAACAGGGTTCCTACTTACTGCTTACTTAGGTAAACAGGTGTGTAGAGTAGGGAAACTTGCCCAACGTCTCACCCTGCCCGGGAATCGAACCCTGAACCCCTCGCTTGCAAGGCGAGCGCTCTAACCACTACGTTACAGGACTCCAAGATGACCCAAAGGACCTTCTGAACGGATCTTGCGCATCCTTTCGAGCGAAGGCAAACAGTTTCAATGAAGACAATCTGACAGCCATCTCTTAGAATTAATATTCAATCAGTTTTACTGTCAGAAGTTATTTAAAAGCCACAATTTTTCACATTTGTTTCCATGGAGGCCCCTGCCACTAAGTACAATGAACAACAGTAATTTGGACAGTCAAATGTGCACAGAGAGTGATATACCGTATTACCACAATGCACTTAAGCAACATACTATAATGGCAACTTTCTCCTCGCGGAAGATCTAACCTGTTCATCTAACCTGATCACGTTAACACGTGGGTGTAGCATGTACGAGAATTCAATCAGTATAATCGGCGATAAGCCATCCTATAATTGCCAATGTAAAATATTTGTTTCACAATAAATTGCCATGTTCACGACAGAAAATCTTCAATGGGATTATGATCGTCTCTCTTTCCCAAAGCACAAATTCCCATCCGCTTAATTGTCACTTTGCATCCGTCTCCAGCGTCAATCTGGACATTTTTGCTAATTGTGGGACGACCTTGTGCCATTGTCAGTGCAGACACCATAAATCTCCCAACATAACATTCTCATATTCAGGCAACAGTGAATGAGTAAGCATGCATTGATCACGCATTTGATGTGTCATATGAGTCAAAGCCCTGTTTGCTGCAGCCATTAATTACAGCACATTAAAGATCCTCGTCTTTATTTTATTTTTCCAACGAGCGTCCTAAATTAACCCAAATGGACTAAGGCAAAAGTACAATGGTCTGAAGTGGAGCTGAATCAAGTGGTCAACAGTGAGACAGACCGGGCTCTCAGTCAGTCTGACTTCTCAACCTCGCACTCCATAATAACCATTTGTAAATTAGGGTGAGTCAAGTCAGGGATTTGGGCAAGAATTTGGCAACAACATAGCTTCCAATTTAATGACAAATACTACTTGGCTCCCAAAAAACGATTTGTTACATCACAAGGTATAACTTAAGTACCCACACTTGGGGCTGGATTGGTGGGGTAGGAAATCACCAGATCTGTATCCGCCTCTATGTGGAACAACCATTAATGATGGAGGTTAAAGGCTAGCTCAGATACCGCAATGTGGGGGCCCTCGAATAACACAGCTCAAAAGCACAAGGCAGCGTTTATTGGCTTGGGTTCAAATTGGTCAGTAAAGTACTGGTTTAAATCAGTGCGTGTAATCCATTCCATTCACGTATCCATTTCATTCAACGTTCATCAGCAAGGTAATACAGAACCTGCTTAATTCAGTGCTTGTAATTCAGTCCATTCACATACCGGTTAACTTCAGTGTGCTTGTCTGGACCAGACACTAAAGACAGTCTGTAACCCAATCCACTACAGCACCCACTGAACTGAATGCCCAAGTCTCAAAACCAAAAAGCACAGGCAGTTACTGAAAAGCTGAGACAATGATGAGACAAACAGCTCAAGTGGAGCGTACCTACAATTAGTACTGCTGAATAGTATTGGTACCTGCATTGGCTGTGATGTCGGTAAATTACAGATAAAAATGATAGAATCTTGGGAGTAAGTTACAATACTGTGAACCTGACGAAGGAGTTCAGGGGAATGGATAACTCAGGTGTGATTGTGAAGCTCCAGTAGTTTGTGAATGACCTTTGAAACCTGGAGTTTAGATCAGCCTTGAACTCATTCATTCCCAAGTCTCCGCTATCTCGTTTCTTACACGTTACTTTTTTCTGGTACCCCCCCCGCCCAGAAATTACAATACAATTGGTTATACATTACAAAGGTTGTACAATAGAGGAACATCGGGTTTCAATAGCATTTGAGGAATGAGGGAGTACTGTTTGTTTGCAGCAAAAAAAATTAAATACAAAGTACAGATCCACTAATAAATTATGAACCATTATCATACAAACTTCACTTTACATAATCACCATGATCCACCAAATTCTTAAAAACATGTCTAAGAAATAAACACAGATTTTTTTTGCTGAAAGGCCCAGGTTTGGACTGAGTCCTTCCGAGTAGATCAGAGTTACGTCACAGCAAGCACGTGTGCCCTTTTGTCCCCTGTAACACTGCCTCTCTGCAGCCTTACAGGGCTTTGCATGCTTCTTAATGGAGACATGTTCTCTGATCGTTGGTTAAAAGGTGGATTTATTTTCTCTTGCTCACTTGATCTCGCTGCGCATTTCTTTTCGTTCCTGTGCTGCGGGGACTGTCGCTTGGCGGATCACCCATAATGATACACAAAGTCATAGCTGCTGGGCTCCTTAGGGATGGGGGGAGGTGCCTCGGGGATCTGGATGTTCTCCAGGTCCAACAGACGCAACTTCATCTCCATGCTCAGTAGAGTGTCCAGGTCGTTCTTGGTCAGCTCGCTGCCCATCTCTTTCCCCAACAAAGCGTTCAGTCCATCAGTCCAGATACAGTACTGCACCAGAACAGAATAGGATTTTTAACACAAGTAAGGGACAGAACAGGAATTTAGATGCAGTTTAGATCCTCAGGGCTCTGTCCTTGGTCCCCTCCTATCAACATCAATATGCTCCCTCTTGGTGACATCATCCGCAGACATGAGGTCAACTTCCACATGTATGCGGATAATACCCAATTGTACCTCTCTGTCTCCATCCTCAACTCCAGGACCACTGACGTCCTGACAGAATGTCTGTGAGACATCAAGTCCTGGATGAGAGCTAACTTTCTACAGTTGAACGGAAACAAGACCGAGGCTCTCCCGATGGGCTCCCGCCAGCGCCTCCTCACCTCAGGTGCTGACAGCATCACCATTCATGGTTGCACTCTCCACCTTGCTAAGCCAATCCGGAACCTTGGGGTCTTGTTTGACCCTCAACTATCCTTTCTACCCCACATCCATGCCATGATCCGCTCTGCCTTCCCCCACCTCCGCAACATTGCCCGGCTCCGGCACTGTCTCATACCGTAGGCCGCCGAGATCCTGATACATGCATTCATAACATCCAGGCTTGACTATGCCTTGTCAGCCTCCCCATCTCCTCCATCCATAGGCTTCAGATCATCCAGAATTCTGCAGCCCGTGTCCTCTCCCGTACCAGGCTCCGCGACCCTATCAACCCCATTCTCGCCCAACTTCACTGGCTTCCCATCACACAGAGGATATAGTTCAAGATCCTGGTCCTCACCTTCAAAGCCCTCCATGGTCTTGCTCCCCACTACCTCTACGACCTCCTAACCCCCTACCAAGCTGCCTGCTCCTTCTGCTCAGTGGGCTCCAGCCTGCTTCACATCCTGGCCTCGCCCGCCCCACCATTGGCGAGTGGGCCTTCAGCCACTCTGCCCCAACCTCTGGAATTCCACCCCACAGTCGCTCCACCTCGACCCCTCCCTTGCCTCCTTCAACACCCTTCTCAAGACCCTCCTCTTCGACCATGCCTTTGATCACCCTTTTCACCCCCCCCACCGCCCTCTACCCTCCCTGATCCCGACCCCCAGCTTGGGTCTGAAACACTGATTGTCCAGCGCCTTGGGATGTGCTTGCGACATGAAAGGTGCTGTACAAATGTCATTTTGTTGTTGTTCACAAAGTCCTGTAGCATTTTGATTTAGCGTCTTATCACATCATCGAGACATCTCAAAGCGTAAAGTGGATTGACGGTGTATTTTGTGTGTGAAACGTGGCAGCCAATTGCGCACAGCAGCGTCTCATAAACAGCCATGAAATGAATGACCAATTTTATTTGGGGGTTTGTTGGCCAGGACACTGGGAGAGAGAAATTCCCTTCTCTTTTCAAATAGTGCCACGGGATCTTTAACCTGAACAGGTATTCGGGACCTCGGTTTAAGGCCTCATCTGACGGTTCCTGCTTAAGCTATCTGATCTTCCTTCCTTCCGCCTTAGTGCCAAACCTGTTCGCCTCCAGCTATTCCATCAGGAATCTGTCCATTTTATTGCTCAGCATGATTGAAATGAGGACATTCACTTTGGTACTTGGCAGTCTATGTCATAATGACAACTTGCATTTTTACATAATAGTAATAATAATCCTTGCATTTGATATAGTGCTTTTCAGGTCTTCTAGACGTCTCAAAGCGCTTCACAGAATATACTGTAAAGTGAATTGACTGTATATTTTGTGGGCGAAACACGGCAGCCAATTGCGCACAGCAGCGTCCCACAAACAGTCGTGGATTGAAGTGACCAATTTATTATTGGGGTTTTTTCTTGAGGGATTAATATTAGGCGTGTGGAGTAAGGAAACGTGCCCATGTTTCGCCCTGCCGGGAATCGAACCGAGATCTCTCGCTTGCGAGGGGAGTGCTCTAACCACTGAGTTACATGACTCCACAATATCGCGCCCTTCACGGAGTGTCTCAGAGTCTGATAACTCAGAGTGTTATGTGGTTTACTGATTAAGTTACATTTACCTTGTATTACCTTCCGTGTCTAATTTTGCTTCCAGTTCAACATTAAACAAACTCAGACTAACTGGGATTTTAAACCACTGATCCAGTTTTCTCTTTCCTCCCCATGTGGTCTTTTTACTGAGAACAGGGTTCATGATCCACTCTGATGGCTTATTAATTTTCGAGCCCCCCCCTCTTTCTCTCTCTATCATCAAATGACTCTTACTGAGTACAATGCTTCCAATGCAGTCTAACACACTCTGTTCGTCGTGGCAGCTGGTGCCATATATTGCAAGAATGCTTAGATTACACCTTATATTTCTCAATATTAAACATTTACCAATCCTCTGCCCACCTGCTAAGTGCCTGAATTGCATGCTAAGTGCCACTTTGCTCCTTGGATCCTCTTTCCACATGACTTAGGCATTCTACTTATTGTGGCTTCCTCTAGGTCTTTAATAAACATGATAAACAGCAGGAGGGCTGCTCCCTTAACCATCTGTCTAACCAGTTACTGAACCAGTTATCCCGTTCACCATTTCACCACCTCGTGACACTGCCAGTTGCTCAAATTGTTCCACTTCTGTCATTCTACCTTTCAAATTAATTTTTTAAAAACAGAATCAGACGATCATAGAAATTTGCAGCACAGGAGGCCATTCAGATTATCCAGTCTGAACCAGCTCTTAGAGCAAGCTGTGCATTCAATCTCACTGCCCCCCGCCCTATCCCTGTACCCTTCAAGCCTCTATCTTTCCTATATCCGTCAACTCTTTGCCCACAAAAGACATAGTCAATCCACTTTACAGTATATTCTGTGAAGCTCTTTGAGACGTCTCAACGACGTATTAAGGCACTATATCATACTCAAGGATTATTTTGATTATTTTACTTCCCTCTTGAAATTCACAATGGACTCTGCCTCTACTAACTTACTTGGCAGAGCACTCCCCATCCCAACAACTCTGTGTGAAATATATTCTCCTAATCTCTTCATTTGCTCTTCTTGTGACTACAGTCCCTGACTCCCCTTATCTTCAGCTTTATTTACAATCCACTGTCTCTGATTATTCTTGATCACTGACTTCATGGCTATTGTGGGACATTGCTAAGTGCAAACTGGCTACGGGGTTCGCCTACAAATACGCAGTCACTACGCCATAAAAATCCTGTGAAGCGTTTCGAGACACCTTGACGATGTGACAAGGCTCTGTACCAAATGTAAGGATTATCATTGACATTATTCACTTTAAGAGAACCCGGAATACATATCAATCTGTACCCCTTATATCTGTACCCCTTATATCTAACACACATTTAACAATGGAAACCCGTTGTTCTTTGCTTTATTTTATTGTTATCTGTCATTCTCTCCACCCTTAGCTTGCCATATCCTCACTACAAGTGACAATATTGTGTCAGTGTATGAGATGCACCCGAATTTTTACATGGATTTGATTCATGTATCCATTTAGCTACCCAACTACTTTTTTAATAACTGAACCTCAATTTGTTTGCTCCAAACATACTCTTAACACAACTGGAATTCTTTATGTATACATCTGGCAACTACTGGTTTATCAAATACAATATTGTTTTGAGGCCTTCCAATACCACTGAAATTCACAGCATCGAAGAAGGCCATTCAGCCCATCGTGACTGTGACGGCTCTTTGAAAGATCGACAGTGTCAAAGATGACAGACAGATCAAAAAGGATCGGAGGCAGAGAGAGCCCTGGTCACAGATGGAGAGAATGTCATTGGTGAGTTTAATCAGAGGAGTCTCGGTCTGTGGGCAGCTCGGAAGTTGGATTGGAGAGTTCATGCAAGGAGGGCCTCAAAAGGAAAGAGTGAAGCTGGGAAGCAACAACTAGTACCCTGGAGAGGAAAGGGAGCTTGGTGATAATAACAATAATTCTTTCATTCGATATAGTGGCTTATCACCCAAAGAGTAGTGGAAATCTGGAACTCTCTCCCTCAAAAGGCTGTGGATGCTGGAACCATTCAAATTTTCAAGACTGAATTGGATAGATGTTTGTTAGGTAAGTGTATCAAGGGACATGGGGCAAAGGGTGGATAATTAGAGTTGAGGTACAGAATCAGCTATGATCTTATAAATTGGTGCTGAATGGCCTATTCCTGTTTCTATGGTAGTTAGGAACAAAGATAAATTGAAGGAAGGTTTTTAAGAAGTGGGTGGGGAAAGGGGTGGGAACTGTGCCAGTTCAGAAGAAGTGAACAGTGGGATTAGAGTCCACACTTGCCTCATACTTGTTGGGAGCGATGAAGTTCAGAGCCTCATCGGGATCGTGTAGAACAGAGAAGGCTAACTCCAGGACCTCCTGTGGGGGAGAGAGAACAGCAGAAACTAATGAGAGAACGCTAGCAGATTGCAGCACTAATCCCTTTTCTCAAATAAGCTCCTCCACTAATAAACTTGTGGCTTGTAACACTCACCCACTCCCCCCACAAGCTCAGTTTCCCACAGAGCCGTAACCACACTGGTACTACACTCAACCAGAAATTCATTATTCTGAATATGTTGAACAAATTATTGTGAAATCTCTGGGGAGGTACCAGCCAAGTGTGTTTCTCATCATAAATAGCTAAGGTCACAATGGAGCAGCAACAACAACAACAGCTTGCATTTATATAGCACGCTTCAGCCTTGGTGATGACTCAAAGCGCTAATTTTCCTTGGATTTTAATGATACACTGGGGAGGAATTTGCCACGTGCTAATTACTGCATTGAATGCATTACAAACCGGATAATTTAACTCGAGTGATTGAAATCCATCATTCAATTTTTCTCATTTGAAAACCTACAGTGGATACAATATAAGACAGATCAACAGCAGCAGAAAATAGCTATCACATTTTTTGGGGTGTCTGACACATCCAGAAACCCATCACCATGTTTAAGGGTATCCAAAACAAGCTGAGATCTATGTGCATCCCACCTACACATGGAAATTCCTGAGATAGATTGTTGGGAAGGAATGCAAACTCTCTCCCTGGAGGCATGCACCCTGCTTACCTAATTCCAGAAAGTATTAGGCACAGGTTGGCAAGAGCCAAGGCTTGGGGACCCCAGGGTGAGCATTGGGGTAACTGTGGAGTCTAATCAGCTCACATGAAGTTGCCCAAGTTTAACATCTCACGGACACATAGCTTTAGTAACTTTTTGACTAACTTTCCGATAAAGCTCCATAACATCTTATGGAATAACATGGAATGAGTGACCAATTTTATTTGGGGGATTATTAGCCAGGACACCAGGAGAGAGAAACTCCCTTCTCATTTTGAATAATGCTTTGGGATCTTTAACATCCACCTGAACAGGAAGACGGGACCTCAGTTTAACGTCTCATCCGAAGGACACACCTCCGACAATGCACAGAACTATTTTGGAGTGTCAGCTTAGACGATGTGATTCTTAGTACTGTTTAACGCTGTACACATACTGCACACACATACAGCACACACACACATACAACGCTCGCACACAGGTACGCACGCACGTACACACGCACACTCCCACCACTGCAGGAAAGCCCACAAGTTGTACCTTGTTTTGTTTCATAGCACTCTTCTCCCTCATGTGGGGACAGTCCTTCCCAGTCACCACGGCTTTAATATTTGCAACAGGAACTGGAGAAAGAGAGAAAACACCAGTGAATGTCAGTGACCAGCACAGTCAACGCATTGAAGCCACCAAATGAACAACCAGCTGTTGACTGACAGTGTATAGCAGTGCAGAGTACACATCAAAGCAATATCCACCAGGACCAAAGATAACAGAAACTTGAAAATAAACAGCCTCACTTATTCCCACTTCCCATCACCACCAACATTTGCCAAAGAACATTGCGTGCAGAATTGGTCATCAGACATAACAGTCCTTACATTTGATATTGCGACTTCTCACACTATTGAAATGTCCAAAAGGCTTCACAGGATTTACAGTAAAGTGCAGTGACTGTGTATTTGGTAGATGAACACGGCAGCCAATTGCGCACAACTATGTCCCACAAACAGCTATGAAGCAAATAACCGATTTTATTTAGAGGATTGTTGGCCAGGACACCGGGAGAAACAAACTTCCTTTTCTTTTCGAATAGGGCTTAACTATCCAGTGTTTAACATCCACCTGAACAGGTTGACCAGACCTCGGTTTAATGTCTCATCTGAAGGCACCACCTCTGACCATCAGAATTCCACTGGTGCATCAGCCTAGAGCTCAAAGTCCCGACGTGGGGCTTGAACCCATAACTTTCAGACTCAGTGGCAAGAGTGCTACCGACTGAGCCAGGCTGACACTATACAGAGACAGAGGGAAAGGGCGAGAGACTTACTTTTTTCCTGCAGAGACTCAAAGGCCACTTCTCCCTGTGGGTTCTCGTCCAAGTCTCCATAGTGCAACACCTTATGATTCAGTGAGAGTCTGCAGTACCAGAACTTATCTGTGGAGCAACAAGACAATGGGTGATCAAACTGCGCTGCTTAAACTGTGAACACACACAGTCCAGTGCCATAACTCTCCTCCCCCCGAACGTCGGTGGACAGTTAAGGGTTTGCACCCCAGCTGGGGGTTGGGATCAAGAGGGGTGGAGGGTGGGGGTAGGAGGGTGCAAACTCCCCTCTTCACGTTTCTAGTGCCTGTTGCTGGACACCTGTTCTCCCATAGAATGTAGAAAAGGCCAGAGAAACACACAAAAATAGTCTTGAGACAGGCTTTGAAGGAGGCAAGGGAGGAGGACTGAGTTTTGCTGTAACTGGTGAGCACACACTGGCCAGTGCCCGCACAATGCCATACCTTGCCGCCTGCGGCTGACTTTCCGGAAGCTGGTGCCCTCACACAGGCGGTTCAGCCGCTGCTGTTTGATCAGCTCCATGATCTCAGGCTGAATCTTCTCCCGCAGCTCACTGCAAACAACAACTACAACTAAATATATTTACACAGCGCCTTTCGCGTCGGGAGGACATCCCAAGGCGCTGGACAGAAAAAAGATTTGCACCCGAGCTGCGGGTTTAAATCAGGAGGGGTTGGGAGCAGGGAGGGTAGGGGTAGGGTAGGGGTAGGAGGGCGACCGAAGGCACGGTCGAAGAGGAGGGTTTTGAAAAAGGCAAGGGAGAGGCTCAGGATTGGTGTTCCAAGGGGTGGGGGATGTGGATTAGGCTGGAACCTGCTGAGTGCAGGGAGCAGACAGATCGGTATGGACATGGTCAGCACACACCACTCGCACAACAGATCCCAACGCCAGAGAAACAGGAAGGAAAGACAGAGCGGGCAGAAGCTACTCCCGGGGTAACTCCCATATCCCGCCTCCTCCCCCCCGCAAACCCACACCATGTCTCTCCCGCCTGTAGCTGGACACCTGGTTTCCTCCTGCAGGAAGCAGAAAAGGCCAGAGAATCACAACAACAGGGAATTCCTCCACAACAATGTAAGGTTGGTTGTTAGTTGACTGGTGGGAATAATAAACCCTTCAAAATAATAATAATAATGAATTGATCACTCTATCCACGACTGTTTGTGGGACACGGTTGTGTGCAATTGGCTGCTGCATTTCGCCCACAAATAAATAGTCAATTCACTTTACAGTATATTCTGTGAAGCCTTTTGAGACGTCTAGAAGATGTGATAAGGTGCTATATCAAATGCAAGGATTGTTATTATTAAAGGCAGTCAAGTGAACTCTAAGAAGGGCCACAGCCCCACCACTAGACGCCATCCAAAAGCTATTGTCCAGTGACGAGGGTTTTCAATCAAAGCTGCGAGAAATGAGGAGGTGCCGGGAGCAGGGGTTGACCTACACGATTGGCGGGGACTGGAAGTCGTCCTGGCTCATCCTCTCAGACTGTCGCAGCCTCAGGATCTCCGAGTAGCTCAGGCAGCGGAGTTTGCTCTTGAACTGATCCAGCGAGTTCGGCTTCGCACTCAGGGTCCTCGTAATCTGCTCACGGACAACCTGCATCACCTGCGCGAGAAAGGGAGAGTGTGTGTGAGAGAGAAAAAGAGAGGGGTAGAGAAGAGAGAGAAGCAAACCTCAGCACTTTCAGCCATCAGGGAATCAGTGTCAACACTTCTGGAGTCTCATAGCAGAGTGGTTAGTGACGCAGGTGAGGTTCAGAACAACCAGACCCTTGTGGAGTGCCTGACCCGCAGGGTAACACCCTGGTTGGAGACCTGTAGCTCAGTGATTAGAGCGCTCGCCTTGCAAGCGATAGGACCGGGGTTCAATTACCGGGCAGGGCAAAACCTTAGACAAGTTTCCTGACTCCACACACCTCTGTTTACAAGGAGTAATTAGGAACCTGGTTGTTAGTTGATTGGTGGATTACCAAAATGTTGGTGATGGGACATTAAATCAAGGTCCTGTCTGCCTATTTAGACAGACTTTAAAGATGCTGTGGACAATTTGAAAAGAGAAGGGAGTTTATCCCGGTTTCCTGTCAACAATCCTCCTGATAGAATTGGTGTTTACTTTAAGGTGGAACATTGTGGTGCGCAAATTGGCTGTCGCATTCGCCTACAAAATACAGTCACCACACTTTACAGTAAATCCCATGAAGAGTTTTGAGACATTCTCTTGATCAAGTCAACTATGTCAAATGCAAGGTTTTTTTTTAATAATCCTCTCCCCCAGCCCACACCCACCAAGCTCAAGATGAAAGTTGACGCCATGGTTTCTGCAGCAGGATTTCAGTCCCTGAGGGGTTCTTGGCATGGTTGGCTGTGTGTGTGGGCGTCTGCGGGCTGTCTCAGGCTCTCTCTGTGCCAGTCACAGTTTGTGTAGCTGCGGGGGTGATGCTCCTGCTCTTCAGAGAACAGGCAGCCCGGGAGCAGGTGCAGAGCTAAGGTTCACAGCAACCAGATGCTTGTGGTATCCTATAGTTTAGTGGTTAGAGCACTTGCCTTGCAAGAGAGAGGACCCCGGGTACGATTCCTGGGTAGGGCGAAACCTTAGGCAAGTTTCCTTACTCACATGCCTCCGTTTACCGAGCAGTAAGTGGGAACCTGGTTGTTAGTCGATTGGCTAATTGCCTTCCGGGGTAATAACCTCTCCTCAAAATAAATAATTTGGTCACTCAATCCATGTCTGTTTGTGAAAACTGCCGTGCGAAATTGGCTGCTGCTTTTCGCCCACAAAATATACAGTCAATTCATGATACGTTATATTCTGCGACGCCTTTTGAGATATCTCATTGACGTGATAAATCGCTATATCAAATGCATGGATTATTATTATTATTACTACACCAAACCAGTGAGAAATCGCTGGCAGCACGGACAGCTTGAATTCTGGTGCTGGTCACTCTCTGGGCAGAGCCCAGCGTGGGTTACAAGCAGAGCGCAGCTCCTTCTCCTCTGACCCAAGTATCAACTCAAATAATAATAATAAAAATAATCCCAGTCACAAGCGGGCATCTCCCCTCCAGGGTATACGGAAACCTTCTTCTTCAGATATTCTTAAATCTCGGATACGTTCCCTTCTCCCAGTTTCCAAACAAACATACTTACTCGCAGCTCTCCGATTCCTAACACTCAGATATATCCTCTCTGCTCTGCGATTCCAGACACACATAAACAACTTGCTCCCAGGTTCCCGGTTAAACACTTGTCCACGTTCAGTGTATAAGAGACGAGAGGCACCAGCATTTTCAAATATGGGAACTCGATCATCTGCAACAACTAAAGTCCTTAAATCCGCAGAAAGTCACAGACCTCTCAAAAGTCTGAGACCAAGAGAGAAGAGTGTAAGAGAGAGAGAGACAGAAACACACACACACACAGGAGTGGGAGAGAGAGACCTTGAAGACAGAGAAACACATACACACATTTCATAAATAACAACCGCAAGCGATAAATAAGGGAAAACGCAAGAAATAAATGAGAGATTCAATAGAAAGGACGACACAGAAAGAGGCTGGTTTGAAGGAACAAGAGGATGCCGAACACCTCAATGTGCACAAAAACAAACATCAGGAGCTGGTCAGAGCATCAGACACACTCACCAACACGGTCAGACACCATCCCCGGTACAGGCAGCTGGCAATCGGTGCTTCTCTACCGGTATCTCGTTACCGGTGCCTCGCTACCGGTGCCTCTCTTTGCCAAGCACAAAGAGAATGAGCACCGCACACTCTGACACAGCTCACTGTGCTGACATACACAGTTCTGGTAAATATCACTCCATCTCCGCCCCTTTCTCGTTAACTCTAACCAAACTGGCTCCTCCAGCTTCAACCCCTGCAAAGTCCTGTAGTGTATTGATTAGCGCCTCGTCTGGCAAGTAAGAGGACCCGATTTCGATTCCCGGACAAAGTGAAACCTTAGGCAAGTTTGCTTACTCCACACGTTTACCTCGCAGTAAATAGGAACCCAGTTGTCAGTCGGTTGGTGGATCGCTTTCCAGATGTAATATTAGGTAGTAAACACAGCATTCAATCCATAACAGTGACATCCTACAACAACAACAACTTGCAATTTATATACCGCCCATCACAGTACATCACCTCGGAGCACTTCACAAGATCGGGAGGCAGACAGGACACTGAACGAGATTATAAGTGTGGTTGAAGAGGTAGATTTTTAAGTGGGATTTAAAGACAGACAGAAAGGGGGCGAGACCAGGGTACAGGGAGTCAGTTCCAGTGGTTGGGGTGTAGGCACAGTAAGTTGCACAGATAGGGCGAGGGAGTGTAGTTGGTCTGAGCAGGCTCAGCAGGGGGCAAGCAGAGGGATGGAGTGGGAGTGGATTGGAGCGATAAGGTGTGAGGGCTTTATAGGCGAGGGCCTTGAAGGCATTTATAGGGCAGTGGGATGAATGACCACCACCAACAGCAACTACCAACAAATCACACTTACACAGCGCCTTTCACGCTGGGAGGACATCCCAAGACGCTGGACAGTCAGGTTGAACGAAGACACAGTTGAAAGAGAAAGGTCTGTGGAAAGAGGTTGCAGGAAGCAATGAAGGGGGCAAGGCAGAGGGACTGTGAGTTCCAGAAGGTAGGGGCAGAAAGGCTGAAGGCACGACCGCCGATGGTGGGGCTGGCAGGGCGGGGGATGTGGAGCAGGCCAGAGCCTGCTGAGCAGAGGGAGCTGTTTGTTGGTAAATGAGGGAGGAACGTTGGCCAGACTACCAGGCAAGCTTGCTGCTGCTCGTCCGGTCAGCACAGTGAGATACATCAAGGTCAGTCACTCCACTGTGGGTTACTGTGCCATTGTCAACAACATTGAACAACTCGAAAAATAAGCAAATAATAGCGAGGGTGACTGCTTGACTAAGTAATGAATAAATACCCCTCTGCCTTGTCACTGCTAATTACTCACGGCTAATTTATTCCAAAAAACATCCCTTTCCCAAATCATGTGCATGTAACTGTTGCTGTATTGGGAAGGTTCACGTCTCCTCCGAGGGAGATGTGACCTGGACACACAGTGTGGTGCCGTGCGGGGGAGGCTTCCTGTGCAGAGCAGATGTTTAGCTGGGTTTCCTGGGGGCGGAAAAGGGTAGGGGCAGGGGAGAAATCTATCAATCTCTGATCACTGAAACCAGGGAATTTTTTTGGGGGGAAAAATATATATTTATTCAATAATAAACCTTGCATTTGGTATAGTGCCTTTCACCTCAGGACAACAACTCAAAGCACTTCACAGGATACACTGTAAAGTGCAGTGAATATATTTTGTGGATGAAACGCAGCAGAAAGTTGCACAAAGCAGTGTCCCACAAACAGCCATGAAGTCGAGTGAGTGACCAGTTTTATTTGGGGAATTGCTGGCCAGGGCACCGGGAGAGTGAAACCTTCTCTTTTTGAATAGCGCCGCGGGATCTTTAACGTCCTCCTGTACAGGCAGCCGGGACCTTGGTTTAATGTCTCACCCGAAGGACGACACCTCTGACAATGCAGGGAAGAGAGAGCTGGTGAGGGTCCCAGGCAACGTCAAAGACAACAGAGAGAGCAGGTGCTGGAGGGTCACAGACCGGAATAATGGCCGGCTATGAAGACATAAATGGAAGCGACAAAATGCAGCCTCTCCGTGAGAGCGGACAATTATTTTGACAAAAATCAATTCTCGCTGGGAGCCTCTGTAATTATCCCTCACTCTGTGATTTTAGTTGCCAAGGAGCCGTACGTCACAGTAACAGAGGGCTCAGCAAATATCAACTCTCACTCCCTGTTCCCAGCATTCCGGGGAGTGTGTAAGTGTGTACATAAACACACACTCTATCCCAGACACAGTGTACACACACCATCCTGGGCACAGTTCAACTCTGTACATATACATATACACACACACGCTCACTGTCCCGGCACAGTGAGAGTGTACACACACTGGCACACTGTGCCTAGCACATTGCGGGTTGTTGTTATAGTATTGATGACAGTAGTGCAGAGGATTTATATAATAATAATCCTTGCATTTGATACAGCGCCTTATCACATCTTCGAGACGTCTCAAAGCGCTTCACAGGATTTACTGTAAAGTGAATTGACTGTATATTTTGTTGGCGAAACACGGCAGCCACTTGCACACACCAGCGTCCCACAAACAGTCGAAGATTGAATGACCAAATTATTATTATTTAAAAAATAATTTTTGAAGGGATTACTACCTCGGAAAATCGATCCGCCAAACGACTAACTTATTCCGAGGTAAACATAGAAGCGTGGAGTAAGACAACTTGCCCAACGTTTCATCCTGCCGGGAATTGAACCCAGGTCACCTCACCTTGCGAGGCGAGCGCTCTAACCACTGAGCTTCAGGACACCACAGTACTCTATAGGATTTAACAAAAACAACTTACACTTCACGCAGGGTAGCCTCTCAAGACCGCTTAACAGTGGCAGAGCCTGACTCCGAGCTGAGGGGGTGGGGGAGGTGACCATAAGCTTTAATTTAAGTTGTTATATGACAATGCAGGCCATGACCAGCATTGACGCACCCCCTCCACCCCACCTCTCCCGGGTACCTTGTTAAAGTCCTCCGACGTGGCCCTCATCTCCTTCCAGGTCTTGTTCAGTAACTGGATACAGATGTAAAAGAATTCCTCAAACGCCCGCTCGTGGGTGAAGAACATCGGGTGATACTCATTACAGCCCTCATTAGCTGCCAACACAAGACACCAGCTTTTACTAGCGAGACCATAGCTTTACCAGTAACACCACCACGTTTAACTAGAGACCATGACTCATCAGTGCCTTTACCAGCGACAGCAGCTGAGAGCTTAGAAAAGGGTATGGAGAAAAGGAGGGTAATTGGAGTTGAGGTACAGATCAGCCATGATCTTATAGAACGACGGAACAGGCTTGAGGAGCTGAATGGCCCACTCCTGTTCCTATGTCCCCCCCCCACCACCACCCATACAAATGTCCTCAAAGGATTAAAGTCCCCCTACCCTCTACCGAGAGCGGGACGCCCAAGTCTGTGGTGTTTGGGAGTGTTTGGTGGATGGAGACTTACGCAGCTCTCCGACCTGCAGGATCTCACACAGCATCCTGGTCAGCTCGATGCTACTGCGCCCGAACGGACATTCATGTTTGTCCTCCCGGCTGCTGTTCTCCAGGACAACCTGCAGGTGGCGAAATATACCATCAATAATAATAATAATAATATTAATAATAATCCTTCCATTTGATACAGCAACTTATCACGGAGTTGAGACGTCTCAAAGCGCTTCACAGAATATACTGTAAAGTGAATTGTAGGAGATATGCGGCAGCCAATTCCGCACTGGAAAAAACAGTTTGGGTTGAGTGACCAATTTTTGACTGACCAATCGACTAACAACCGGGTTCCTACTTCCTGCTAAGTAAACAGAGGCACGTGGAACAAGAAAACTTTCCTGCGGTTTAGTCCTGCCCGGGAATCGAACCCACGTCTATCGTTTGCGAGGCAAATGCTACGGGACTCCACAATTGCATTTGTATAGCATCTTTCATGTCAGGACGATGTCTCATGGCGTCGGCCAGTCGAGAATTTGCACCTGAGAAGGGGGGTTTAGATCAGGAGGGCTGGCGGGCAGGGGGGATCGGGTTAGGAGGAAGAGCAAAGGCACCTTTGAAGAGGAGGGTCTTGAGACTGGCCTTGAAGGAGGCAAGGGAGGGGGCGAGGCGAAGGGACTGAGGAACGGAGTTCTAAATGGTGGAGGGGGGGGGTGGTGGGAAGGTACGGAAAGACTGAAGGCCCGATCACCGATTGTGGGGCAGGGAAATGAGGAGCAGGTCAGTGCCCGCTGAGCGGAGGGTGGTATGGAGCACACACCAGGCTCTCAGCGCCCTCGAGCATCACATGCCCTCTCTCCCCCACCGCAGCGGTGTAGGTGCCCTCTCCCATGGTGAAATCCACGGCTCTGTTCACGTGGTTCTGTAAAGAGAGAGACTCCGCCTCGGCAGGGGGGGGGAGAGAGGGGGCACATCGATACAAAATCACATGCACCGGTTACCCTGATGTACGTGTCCTGGTGAAGCTTGGCGAGGTACAGCATGTTATCCAACGCCAGCATCCCGGGCGGGGTCTGGGTGAAATCCACGGCCGGGTTCACGTGGTTCTGTAAAGAGAGAGACAGACGGGCACGTGTGGGCACCACAGCAGGGAACATTGTGTGCACATGTATGTATATGTGTGTATATATAGATGTATGTATGACTAGCGGTACCCATTGCAGCTTCGCTTGCAACCAAAGCATCCAATATGGAATGTAGATTGACTCACAGACAGACATTTTGTCTTTATCTATAGCTGGGAAGACTTCTGTTGGAGGGCTCAGTAGGAGGTGTCTACAATGAATTGATGGCAGAGGTATTGTATATGCAGAAGGATATTGTAATTGGCTTCATGTTGCATCAACCTGTGCGCATAAAGAGCCATAACAGACACCTTTTCGTCAGGCCTTGACTGTCCAGTGCTGGGATTTGTTTGCCATATCTGGAAATGGTAGCCATCTTCACCACGTGATTATAAGATTGGGATTGGAGGGCATCGTATGCCCTGTTAGTTTCACATACTCGTTTAAGTTTGTTGTAACGTTGCTGCAAGACAATGTCCTGCTTATCATGTTCTTCACCCACAATCAGGATGGCTACTTTGTCAGTAGTTGGTGCATTGTACCGTCACTCATGCTGGCCAATAGGTGTCTTGTCTGCAAGGATGATTATTCTATATTCTTCTGCAGTCATCCTTTCCATTGTGGACTTGAAGCTCCTGATCTATGCGTTGCTGTTGTGAAGCATGTCTTGCAGATCTAGTATGAGGGCTTTGTTCAACCCCAGAACATTGTTTCCACGCTATGTGGCTTGTTCTTCCCGGTTTGTCATGAAGTAGATCTGTAAGAATTGCACTTTCAACGTTGGCATACAGCTGGCTTTTAATTTCTCTCGTTGCGCCAAGAGAGGTCACCTGGAAGCACAAATTATATTTCCTAATGTTTCCTAGAAAATGCTTAGAATCATATGATGTGCCATCCACCAGACTTTTCAAGGGTTCAGGTGGCTCTGTGTGTTGTCCTGGTTTCACCTGGCCAATCGAGCAACACATGGAAGGAACTTCTTGTGCCCATTTCATGGCTCCACAGTGGGCACATACTTTTGAAATATTCCCAATACAATGGGTACCATCTGATTCGTAGTCTCTGCCTGGATCATAGTTGAGTGCAGCTAAATGAAGTGACTTCTGCTGCTGAGCATCATTTTGCCGTGTTCTTGCATGCCTTTGTGCATCCAGGTCCTGCTGGGCTGTTCTTTGAGAGGGCAACTCATTTTGCCATGTTCTTGCAGTCCTTTCGGCGTCGAAGTCTAGCCGTGCTGTTCTTTGTTCTTCAGTTTCATTTTAATCGGCCTTCTCTCTTTTGTCTTGCCTTTTTATTTGTCCTTGAAAGGCTTGATCTTCGCTTCTTAGGCATCTTCCCTTAAGATTAAGTGAATATGCTATTGGGAGGACTCCTGTGGGAGGACTCCTGTTGGGAAGACTGAGTGGGAAGACTCAGTGGGAGGACGCCTGGTTAAGAGGACTCCTGTTGAGAGGACTGTAACTCCCATGAAAACTCGAAAAAATTGCCACACATTTGCAGAAGAATATATTAGTATACATGCATCTCTTTAGAAGGGTGTGTGCTTTCCTCTGTGGCTACCTTGATGCAGAATACCATGCATACCTCATATTTTGGGGCTTAATTAAAGCATTTTTTAAAAAATATAGCTCATCAACAGTAGGGGATCTCCAAAAAATGTCCTTTGCACCCTCTCGAATGCCTTGATATCCTTCCTAAAGTGTGGTGCCCAGAACTGAACACAGTTTCTAGCTGAGGCCTAACCAGTGTTTTGTAAAGGTTCATTATAGCTTCCTGACTTGTGTATTCTATGCCCTTTTTCTATCTTTATTTATAAAGCCTAGTATCCCACATTCTTTTTAACAGCTTTATCTCCCTGTCCTGCCATCTTCAAACATATGAACCCTCAGGTCTCTCTGTTCTTTCACCCCCTTTATGATTGTACCATCAGCTTATATCGCCTCTCATCATTCTTCCTCACAAAATGTATCACTTTTCTCCACATTAAACGTCATCTGTCTGCCCACTTTACCAGTCTGTCTATGTCCTCTTGCAATCTGCTACTATCCTCCTCACCGTTTACTACTTTTCCCAGCTTAGTATCATCTGCAAACTTGAAAATTGTACTTCCTACACCCAACATTTATATAGATCAAAAACAACAGTGGTCCCAATACTGACCCCTGGGAGACACCACTGCACACTTCCCTCCAGTCAAAAAAATAACCGTTCACCACCACACTCTGCTCTCTGTCTCCCAGTCAGTTCTGTATCCATTCTGCCACTGTCCCTTTAATACTGTGGGCTTCTATTTTGCTTACAAGTTTCTTATGTGACACTTGAGCATATGTCTTTTGAAAATCTATATAAACTACATCAAAAGAATTTCCACTCTCACCAAATTTCTGTATAGAATTCCCACTCTGTTCCGTCATACGCATGTATGTATAAATGTGCGCGTGTATATATGTGCGCGTGTATATAAATGTGCGCGTGTGTATGTGTTTGTGCATGCGTTGTCTGCGTGTGTGTGTGTGCGTGTGTGGGGGGAGGGAGGGGTGGGGGCGGTGGGGGGTTGTAGGTAAGACCACGCAAACATACTGTGAAGCCCAGCATTTTGTAATCCCGGGTGTACATGGCTTTACGCTTCTCCACATTGCTGCTGTTCGGGTCCGACTCAGCATCGAACGCGATTCTTCGAAGCTCAAATATGATGTCCCTCTGGGCCTGGGGCGACCGGGAACACAACAACAACAAATTACATTTCACATCAGGAGGACCTCCCAAGGTGCTGGCGCTTTTTTATTTCCACCTCCCTACCTCTGTGACCTTCCAAAAACTCTACCAACCTGTCTGCTCCCTCTGCTCTGCTCCATGTTCCCCCCACCCTGTCTGCTCCACCATCAACGGTCGGGCCTTTAGCTTTTCTGCCCCCAACCTCCGGAACCCCATCCCCCTCCACCTCGCTTGCGCCCCCTCCCTTGCGTTTCCCACGCTGACAGTCCTCCGGGTGGAAGCTGGAGGCTGACCTGATCCTGAGGGTCCATCTTGGTCATCATGCGCTCCTCCAGGAGATTAAAGGTCAGCACCTGCAGCACATACAGCTGATGGGCCATCTCGGTTTTGATCGGTCGGTTCCCACGGATGATGTGCTGGAAGGAGACGCCACATGTTACTTATAATAATCCTTGCACTCGATAAAGCACTCGATATAGTGGAGAAAGTAAAACCAGGGGTCTCAACCTTAAAATCAGAGGTCAGCCCTTTCGCACTGAGTTGAGGAAGAACTTCTTCACTCAAAGGGCGGTGAATGTATGGAACTCACTACCCCAAAGGGCTGTTGACGCTCAGTCCTTGAACATATTCAAGACTGAGATAGATAGATTTCTTATTGCAAAAGGGATTAAGGGATATGGGGATGAGGCAGTGTCAGGTTATTACCTGGAGTTAGATTAGAAGATCAGCCATGATTGAATGGCGGGGCAGGCTCGAGGGGCCGAATGGCCTACTCCTGCTCCTACAAGTTATGTTATGTTAACACATCGCGGAGACACTTTAAAGTTCTTCACAGAGTTTGCTGCAAAGTCATGGATTGACAGTATATTTTGTGGGCAAAACTCAGGAGCCAATTGCGCACAGCAGTGTCCCACAAACATGGATCGAGTGACCAAATTATTATTTTTTTAACTTCTTTTTTTGGAGGGATTATTACCCCCAAAAAGCGATGCACCTGAACAGACAGACAGGACCTCGGTTTAAGGTCTCATCCAAAGGACGACACCTCCGGCAATGAAACACCCCCTCAGTGCTGCATTGGAGTGTCAGCTGTGTGATTCAAAGTCCCGCCGTGAGGTTTTCAACCCACAAGTCTCTGAATCGGAGGCAAGAATGCCACCACTGTGCCAGGCTGTGACGTGCAGAACCTGGCGAGTTCTGTCTCGTTGTCATACTCACGTTTAATATGATGGTTCTCAGGTGCTTCTGGGCCAAGGCACTGGACATCTCCTGTGGGGACACAGCGAGGACTTGAGAGAAAGATCTGAGCCATAATGGGCACTGGGCCCATTACGCTGACTGCACAGTGAGTGAGCGTCAGCACACAACGATACAGCACAGAAAGGGGCCATTCAGCCCATCAGGTCCCGGCCATTTAACCCCCTGCTCCCTCTCGCTCTCCCTCAGTGCAGAGACAACAATAACAACTTGCATTTATACACCGCCCTCCATTCCCTGCGGCGTCTCAGAGCGCTTAACAATGGCAGAGCCCGAGGCCGAGCCGGGGGGGGGCGGGGAAGATGATTATAGGTTCAGTCGAAGAGGAAGGTCTTTAGGCGCGACCTGAAGATGGGGAAGGAGGGGGCAAGGCGAAGGGGTTTAGGGAGGGAGTTTCCAAGTTTCGGAGCATAGTGGCTGAAGGCACGGCCATCGATGGTGCAGCAGATGATTCAGGGGACACGGAGGAGGCCGGACCCAATAGGGCGGAGGCAGTGGATACTGCTGTGGGGAGACAAGAGGTTAGAGAGATGGGGGGGTTGCCAAGGAATGGAAGGATTTAAACACTGGAGTGAGGATCTTGAAGTCAATCTACTCTATGACAGGGAGCCAGTGGAGTTTGGCAAGGACTGGAGTAATCGGGGTATGAAGTTTGGTGTGGGTGCGAATGCGGGCGGCGGAGTCTTGAATGAGTTGAATTTTGTGAATAATGGAGGAGGTGAACTGTGCACATTTACAGACCAGGTGTAGACCATTCAGCCCATCGTTGTGCCTATACTGCCTCTCGAAAAGGGTTTCTCTGGTTAGAGCTAATAATGATAGTATTTGACACAGCGCCTTATCATGTTGAAAATGCCTCAAAGCGCTTCACAGGACTTTACTGTAAAGTGTAGTGACTGTGTATTTTGTAGGTGAAAGAGGCAGCCATTTTGCACACAGCAATGGCAGCCATGATGCAAACGACCAATTTTCTCAGGGCGGATTGTTAGCCAGGACTGCGGAAGCAACTTGCTTCTCTTTTTGAACAGTGCTGTTGAATAACCCATTTCTAAGAGGAAATAGACAATGAAAGAAGGCCAAAAAGTGATTCTGGGAGAATAACTGGTGTGGGTTTATTGTTGGGAGTTTTGAGCAGAGAAGAAAGTAGTTACCTGATACACCTGAGGTGTGAGAATCATTACCAGTACCACTGAGCGTTTAACATCCAACTAAACCGGCAGACCTAGACCTTACTTTAACATTTCATCCGAAGGATGCAGGCCTCCCCCAGTACTGCACTGGAGTCAGCCTAGACCGTGAGCTCAATGTCCCGAAATCTACCCACTGAATCAGGCTGATACCTGGGCGGACATTTAGACAGTAGAGGAGTTAAGGGTCTGGTGAAAGTTGGGCACTGAGATTAAAAGATCTAAAAAACTGTGGGACGGACTCAATGGGCTGTTTTCCCTTTTCATTTCTCCATTATACATCTCAATCACACCAGCTCCACCTGAGGGCATGTTGAGACCCTGGGTTGGTGTCCCTGGTAGGACACTTAGGTCTGAATTAACAGTGAGGACCCAAGCTGTCAAAGCTATCAAACAGTTGGTAACAGCTGGTAGAAACGACTCCTAAACCATTAATCCACAGCAACAACTTTTTTCTCTCCCTCCCTCCTCACACCATCTCATTTTCTTGTGTCTGTGCTGGTGCTCGCTCCCCCACTGGAGCTCTCTACTCTAATCTCATTCCCTGCTCTCTCTCTCTCTCTCTGATATATTTCCAATTCCCTTTTATATGCCGATATGGACTTGTCGCGATTAACCGCTTGACATTGACTGTGTAAGTGAACATCCTGTTTGGTTTAAACACTGCGGTGTGAGCGCTGAGAGGAGCACAGGGGGGAAGTCAGTCACTACTTACTGTCAGAGGCAGGTGCAGAGCAGGCTCCTGCCCTCCTGAGGGGGAGCAGACAGACTGGAGGTGACGGGAGAGAGAGAGAGCGAGCCCCAAAGCACAGCAACCAACCAACCATGTCCATAAAGCATGCGGCAGAACAGCAACAGAAAGCAGCGTTAGTGACAGAGCGGGGAGAGCAAAACACACCCAGGAAGGGGCAAACTCGGACAGACAGTAGGGCTAAGATTGTCACACACACACGCACATACACACACGCACACAGTGGGGTGAGGGGTGTACAGGGAAGTAACAAACAGACAGATTTCCCCCATCAAAATTCTGACTCTGAGCACAGCCTCCCCCACTATGACGATGGGTGCTGCCTCAAGGGACATGCTCAAATGGGTACACACTGATCCGCGTGGGACCCCCCCACCCATGTTCATTTTATTAATGATCCCCAATGAGGTGAAGTAGAGTGTGTAAGTCTGTGCTGGTGCTCATTCCTACTGTAACACTGAACATACAACCGTGGCAGGACATGCACACGCACACACAAACACACACGCACGCGCACACAAACACCCGAGCACACACAAACACACGCGTGCACAAACACACGAGCACACACAAACACATGCGCGCACAAACACACGAGCACACACAAACACACGCGCGCACAAACACACGAGCACACACAAACACACGAGCACACACAAACACGCGCGCGCACAAACACACGAGCACACACAAACACACGCGCGCACAAACACACGCCGAAATATATATACACGTACACACAAACACACGCACAAATACAAACACGAACATGCACAAACGTGCACACCCACATAAGCAGAGGCACAGACTTAAATGCAAAGGCACGCACACGCTGAACGAGGTGAGGCAGTGACAGAGGGAAGCTGACCTGTCTCCGGTCCTCTGGAGCCTTCAGGAACAACGCGTTGATCAGTGCGATGGCGTACGTCTGAATCTCCTGATTTGAGCTGCAAACAGAGCAACATCTTCACAATCAGTCTCCAAGTTCACACGTCCCCACAACAGTAACAATTCCAGGACCTTTACACTGTAGGCATAGTTAGGGTTAACTAACTAACAACAACAACTTGCACATATGAAGCCCTCCACGCAGGGTAGCTTCTGATCGAACTTAACAGCCTGACTCCGAGCTGGGGAGGTGGGGGGGGGGGGGGGCGGTTTAGCACGGTCAAAGCGGAAGGTTTTCAGGCGGGACTTGAAAAAGGGGAGAGAGGGCCGGGTGGAGGGACTGAGGGAGAGTGTTCCAGAGTTTTGGGCCGTAACGGCTGAAAGCGCGACCTCCGACGGTGGGGCGGAGGGTGCGAGGGACGTGCAGGAGGCCAGTCCTAGAGACACCTTGGCACGGAATCTTGCTACTACAATGATTTGTTCTCCAAGTTGTAGTGATCGTTTTACTACAAAAAAATCTGGAGATATATACTGGGGACATGGGATTCTGAATGGATTCCTAGAGTCAGGAGCTTATCTGAGCTTTCCCTCATTCTCAAAGTCCTTGAGCTCATCTGGAGCTCACTTCCCTTTTCCAAAATGCAGAAGTATCATTTTTGTTGAAGATTTCTAGTCAGCGTGGACACAAAGGCTGACGCGTTATTACTTGAAGTTCTGTAAATCAGCATCTTCCATATTCCTCCTGTGTACTTCTGTTTTTCCTCTGTATCCTTCAATTAAGTTACTTGTTTGCTGAGCTGATAAAACATTATTTTAGCCGCCCCTGTGCTAACATTCGGACACTGTAAAATCATTCTCATTCCTCTGCCCCTTGTTCACGTCACTCGGTACCTTTCACTAGGAACAAGCCAAGGGTTTGTGTCTCCTCCGCGTTCAGTTTCCTGCTGGACAGACCGTCTGAGGCGTCTCAAACCATTCTGTCCAGGACAGTGGTGGCCAACCTTTATGGTCGGCCAACAAAATAAATGTTCCTGATTGAATATCTCTTGATTTACGCCATGAATCAATCAAGAAAAAAATGGAAAGACACAACCAGGCGGGACTTGAAGAAAGGGGAGAGAGGGGGCAAGGCGGAGGGGAGGAGTGAGAGTGTTCCAGAGTTTCGGGGTGTAGTGGCTGAATGCGCAACCTGCGCAAACTGCGGAGTGGAGGGTGTGAAGGACAAGCAGGAGGCCGCTGCCAGTCAAACGGAGGGGCCGGGTGGTGGGTTGGGGAAGGAAGGACAGCTGGGGGTCGAACCGGACGCCGAGATTGCGCACTGATTCGGTGAGTCTGAGGCAGAGCCCAGGGAGGTTGAGGAGTTTAGATCCGCAGGAGTGAAGACGTTGACGGGAGCCAAGGAGTATGGCTTCCATCCTGTCCACATTTAGCTGCAGGAAGTTTACACCCATCCAGGCCTTGATGTCTGCCAGACAAGTGGATAGAACATCGGTGGACCTGGAGTTGGTACTGCAGGAGGCAAAGTAGATGTGTGTGTCATCCGCTCACACGTGGAAGTTTACCCCGTGTCTGCAGATGACATCGCCCAGAGGGAGCAGATACGAAACGGTGCGGGGGCTGGAGGAGAAGCCGATTGTGGAACTGAAATAGCGAAGTAAACTTAGAACCTGGGAAACGTTACTATGTAAAACAACTAAGTTAAGTTAACTGAGTTATTAACTTAGAAACTAATTCTCTAAGAAGAGCAGTGGGGTAAAAGGGGTAATTTTGTGGAGTCCTGTAGCTCAGTGGTTAGAGCACTCGCTTTGCAAGCGAGAGACCTGAGTTCAATTCCAGGCAGAGGGCGAAACCTTGGGAAAGTTTCCTTACTCCACACAGAGCCTAATAATAATCCCTCCAAAACCAAAAACAATAATAAAAAGGTCATTTTCAATCTACGACTGTTTGTGGGACATTGCTGTGCGCAATTGGCTGCCGCGTTCGCCCACAAATATACAGTCAATTCACTTTACAGTGTGTTCTGTGAAGCGCTTTGGGACGTCCTCCCGACGTGAAAAGCGCTATATCAAATGCAAGGATTATTATTTTATAATTTGGGGGATTCACTGTCTCTCTGGAGAAGGCAGAGAGGACGGTGGCTGCGGCGTCAATCAATCTGTGCCCACCAGAGGGTGCTGTCCCCCTGCACCGCCACCGCGGCCGCAGCCCACACAACATTCAAGTTGCATAAATGCTACGCCGTTGAGGGTAATTCCTGGAGTCTAACCAGATAAACCCACGTAGCCATTGATATTGCCACCTGGCAAGCTTCCCTGCTGCTTGTCCACCTACCCTAGGACCACCGTACCCGTTACGGCTTTGGCTTGCGGGGATTGGCCTGAACGGATCTGGCTCAAATCTATTTTACCGGTCCATCGGCAGGTCTGGGTGGACCTTATCGACTCCTACCCCTCCGCCCTCGCCTCCACTAAATCGTCGTTCTACTCCAAGACAATCTTGGAGGCCAAGGACAACCCCAGGCTCCTCTTCTCCATCACCAACCGGCTCCTCCGTCCACCCTCCCACGCCTCACCCATTCCCTCCTCCAACGCCAACTTCGAGGCGATGCTGGACTTCCTCGAACCAAAAGTCGGGCTGTGTGGGGGAGAGCGGGCTGTGTGTGGGGGGAGCGGGCTGTGTGCGGGGGCGCGCGGGCTGTGTGGGGGGGGCGAGCGGGCTGTGTGTGGGGGCGAGCGGGCTGTGTGTGGGGGGAGCGGACTGTGTGTGGGGCGAGCGGGCTGTGTGTGGAGGCGAGCGGGCTGTGTGTGGGGGCGAGCGGGCTGTGTGGGGGAGAGCGGGCTGTGTGTGGGGGTGAGTGGGCTGTGTGTGGGGGCGAGCGGGCTGTGTGTGGGGGCGAGCGGGCTGTGTGTGGGGGGAGCGGGCTGTGTGTGGGGGTGAGCGGGCTGTGTGTGGGGGTGAGCGGGCTGTGTGTGGGGGTGAGCGGACTGTGTGTGGGGGCGAGCGGGCTATGTGTGGGCGTTAACCCCTGCCCCCACCCCACCCCCCCAACTCCCCGTGGGACACTCACACCTGCAGGTGAGCGATGAGCTGCCCCACAGTGATCTCCTGTGCCACGCGCTGGTACAGGCTCTGACTGTTGAGCACCATACTTTCCAGGATGGCCAGCGAGCGCTGCAGCAGAGAGGCATCCACACTGGGCAGGTTCACATAGCCCGCAATCTGCCAGGGAGAGAGAGAGACAGAGAGAGAGAGGGGGTGGGGTAGGGTATCAGCACAGAGAGAGTATCAGCAGAGTGAGACTGGAATAAGCCCCTTACACCCCCCCCCCGTAATACCAGTGAACCCACAGAGAGCGAGGGAGTGAGTGAGTGAGTGAGTGAGTGAGTGAGTGAGTGAGTGAGTGAGTGAGCGAGTGAGTGAGCGAGTGAGGGAAAGAGAGGAGTGAGTCAGTTTAGCCTGGCAGCCAGGGGGAGGGAGGGAGGCTCTGCTGTGGGAACGGATCTCGGCTAAAGCTGCCTCTGCAGTTTCCCACGGGATGCTGAGCCTGAAATCTGGAATTACTTCCCGGCTCCTAACCTCAGTGTCGGGGGCACATGGAAAGCTTGTGGACCGAGCAGAACATTCCAGAACCACTGAGGAGGCTGCTCTCCCCTCCCCCGCTGTAAATACCCGATCTCTCACTCAGACACTGTGCTCTCTCACGCACTCTCTCTCGCTCACAAACTCCAGCCTCATCTTTACACTGATTACAATGAGCTTTATTTACTCCCAGACTCCGCAGTCACAAGTGTTCATTGTCTGTTATCTCACTCACAGGGCAACAGTGACAACAACCTGCATTTACACAGCGCCCTTCATGCGGGAGCGCTTAACACTGGCGGAGACTGAGGCAGAGCTGGGGAGAGGGAGTAGGTAACCGTAAGCTCGGTCAAACTAATATTGTTAGCGCTCAGAGACTCTACCCTGCGTGAAGGCCGCTATATAAATGCAAGTTGTTGCCGCTGTGGTGACCTGAAAGTGGGGAAGGAGGGGGCGAGGCAGAGCGATTGAGGGAGAGTGTTTCAGATGCTGACGGTGGAGCGGAGGGGACGAAGGACAAGCAACAAGGATGGCGCTCTCTCTCTCTCTCTCTCTCTCTCCCCCCCCTCCGCTTACCTGCTTGATGAAGGCGGTGGAGATCATGTCCCAGGAGACGATACCGTGGTCCATCAGCTCCAGGAACGCTGTCAGGGTAAATGCTAGCGTCTCCCCGAAACTGTAACACAGGCAGCGTCAACAACACAGCCACAGGTTACAGTGTGGACTGACTTACGGTAGAAAAATACACAGGCAGAGGGGGAGTGGGGGGAGGGGGGGGCGCAGAGGCAGAACCATAGACAGTGAAAGTGTTTGCAGGCGGCAATGACCCACAAACGAATGATCAATTTTTTTTACTTGGGGGATTGTTGACCAGGACACCAGGAGAGAGAAACTCCCTTCTCTTTTCAATTAGTGCCGTGGGATCCTTATCGTCCACTTGAACAGGAGCCGGGATCTCATCAGAAGGACGGCACCTCCAGCAATCTACCCCACCCCGCGCCCCCCTGGACTATACTGGAGTGTCATCTTAGACGATGTGATTCCAAGTCCCGACATGGGGCTTGAACCCTCAGCCTTCTGGCTCAGAGGTGACAGAGCTGCCACTGCTCCAGGTTAAGAACAGCTTTGAAATGAAGTCTGAATTTAAGAACTTAGCGAAATTCTAACACTATCAGACAGTGGCGTGACAGCTGAAGTCAGGAAGCTTTCCCGAGGGGAGCGGTTGGGGGGGGGGGGGAGGTGGGGAGAGAGAGAGAGAGACAGCAAGGTAGAGACGGACAGGTGTGGTGTGTATGAAGCAGTTACTGACTTGGTGCCGCTCTCCACCAGCAGGGTGAGGATATAGATACCCTCCAGGTTGATGAACTCAGTGGCGAAGGTGGCGTCGGCCGACAGCTTGGCCAGTTCCTTCAGGGCCTCCAACCGCGAGTCTGTGCCGGGCGCCTGGACTCTCTCCAGCAACTGCCGGGCAGCGCGGTACTGCGGGGAGAGAGAGAGCGAGAGAGGGGGCGTCAGCGAGACAACAACAACAACAACAACCATCAACAACCACCACCACAACATCTTGCACTTACACAAAGCGCTTCGCACCTAGTAGCATCTTGGAAGGCTTAACAATGGCGGAGCCTGAAGGTGACCGTAACCACGGTCGAAGAGGAAGGTCTTCAGGCGCGATCTGAAAATGGGGAAGGAGTGGGGGGGGGGGGGGTGGGGGGGCTAGGCGGAGGAATTGAGGGAGAGAGTTGCAAAGTTTTGGGGCGTAGTGGCTGGAAGCACAGCCGCCGTTGGTGTAGCGGAGGGATAAGGGACAAACAGGAAGCCGCAGCCAGACGAGCGGAGGTGGAGGGCTGTGGAGTGGGGAGTAAACAGGCCGGAGAGATAGGGAGGTACCAGGGGCTTGAAGGGATTTGTGACAAGTCTGAGGATCTTGAAGTTGATCCGCTCTGCGATAGGGAGCCAGTGGAGCCTGGTGAGGACTGCTATGATGGGGGTTACGGAGTTTAGAACGGGTGAGTATGCTGGCTAGAGTTTTGAATTAGCGCCTTTCACCCCCATGAGAGAGCACACCCCGGTGGGGGGCCATCAGGAACAGCGGATACCCTTGGGGAATATAGCTTCACTCTTTCACGAGGAGTCTGGACAGAGAGTTCAGAAACAAGCACATCCCAGTTACAAGCAACAAGCCTGACTGCGCCAGACGGACACTAGTAACTGTGCAGTGGGGGGGCTGGGGCTTCGATTTTCTCAGTATTTTTCGCCTCCTGGTCCTAGCTGTGGGACAAGCAGCTGAAAAGCTTGCCAGGCAGCGCTCTCAACGGCAAGCTATGCGTGTTTGGCTGGTTAGACACCAAGTCACCCCAAAGCACACTTCAAGTTTCCCCCACCCCCTCCCCAAGCCTCGGATCTCACCAACCTGCACCTGAGGCTCTCTGGAATTATGTAAGCAGGGTGCTTCGCTCCAGGGGAGCCAGTGTCCCATTCCAGACACAGCGCGATTTCCCGGAATGTGAGGAATTCTCTGTGTCTGGACTCAACGGATCTATTTCCTGCTTTGTCTTTTTTGTTAAATTTATACCTTGCATAGAATCATAGAGGCTGACAGCTCAGAGACAGCCCATCCATCAGGTCTGTACGTGAGGCGTCTAGTCTAATGCCACTCTCCTGTTCACGCCTCAAACTCTACAACATCTCTCTCTGTTTGAAGCTTCGATCCAACCTCCCCTTTTAGAATAATACTTCGACTTTGAGCCTCGAGGCACGGAATTGGCAAAGAATTCCACATTCCAGTCACCCTCTGTGTAAAGAATGTGGCTCACCTCCCTGTTACTTCCTTTCACACTTTATCCTCTGTTCCTTCCAGTCACTGATTAGTGGGAATAATCCACTGATGGGGTAACTAGTGATCCAGACACCGGGGGAGAGGGGCAGTTAGGACAGGGACAGGCTGGGTGGGACGGGCTGGGCTGGGGTGGGACGGGCTGGGCTGGGGTGGGATGGGCTGGGCTCGGGTGGGACATCATTAATACTTACTGGAGAGATGGCCAGCCGCAGGATGGTCCCATTTTTGATCTCACTGCGAGTCTAGAAAGAATCAGGAGAGGAAACAGTAAAGCATTAAAAACAAATAAGACTTACTTTCCTCGTGTGCGAGGAGTTTGATTCCTTGCTCCCCTCCTCCCCACTTCCATGGGCCACTCCCCACCTTTACCTCACCCAAGTGGCCCTTATTCAATGGTAACTCTGAGCTCCGATATGAGTGTCACCCACTTTGACAATAACAACAACAATAATAATAATTGCATCTGATGCAGTACGTTATCACAGCATTGAGAAGTCTCAAAGCACTTCACAGGATACACTGTAAAGTGGAGTGACCGTGTATTTTGTTGGTGAAATGCGGCAGCCAATTTGCGCAGTCGTGTCCCACAAACGGTCACGGAGTGAGGTGAGTGACCAATTTTATTTGGGGGATTGAAACTCCCTTCTCTTTTCGAACAGAGCCATGGGATCTTTTAACATCCCCCAAATAATGTTGGCCGCTCGCTCTACGGCTGTTTGTCGTGTGCAAATCGGCCGGAAGGCTCACCCGCAAAACACACAGTCACTGTACTTTACAGCGTGTTCTGTGAAGCCCTTTGAGAGGCTAATCTTACACCAAACATTGCTAGACGTTCTCCAAGAGTATCACATTTCAGGCAAATCGAAGGGGAATGAGAATGTAGGTTAGAGCTTTACAGCTGGAGAAGATTAAAAGAGCACAAGATGTATAATGGCTTGGGCTTGATCTGCAGAGTGCGCTCAGGAGGTCACTGCTGAATGGTGCTGACAAGCAAAGTCTCCTCTCTGGATAGGAACCTGACTTGCTGCAGGGAGGGGAGGTGGGGTGGCAAGTACACTCGTGATTACATCTGTGGCTTATGATTATTGTAGCAACTGTGGAGGCACAAGGTTGTAAGGCACTTTCACACAGATAGCGTTAACTCTCTCACTGCCTCCCCAGTTACACACACGCGAATGCACGCACGCACGCTTACACTCACGTGCGTGAACGCAGGCACACACACACACGCATACTCACATGCACACACACGTGCACACGCACACATAGAAGGACACACTCTCATGCGCACGTGCACACACAGACGGACACACGTGCACACACATGCACGGTAGACTTTAGGATGAGAGGAGCCTGACCTTCTCAGTGATATAGAGTTGTGTCCCGTCAGCATAGCGCAGGGTGTAGTGTTCAGGGTTTGACAGTGTCCACCTGTGATAAACAGCGTCAGTCAGTCAGCCCAGCCCCACACACACACACACACACACACACAAGCCCACCCCCAGCCCGGCTCCACAATACAAATCGTGCTGACTCAGGCACTTACCCATCACAAACCTCCCTGATGATCGCAGTCAGCGGTTTCTTCTGTAAGAGGGAGAAAGTAACAATGAACAAACTGATCGGCAAGTTCCTCATTACCGCGAGCAGAGCTTCCTCCCAGATCACTAAAAGTGGAGCATTTCAGAACCAATGTGAAATCACAAAGAGGTCAGCCGTTCACAGCCTTTTATTGAGTGCAAAACACACTTTTCTTTGCAACTGGAAGTTTTTTTTTAGCTTAGTCACAGGCACGCACGAGATCACAAGATCCGTCTGGATGAAGAAGGTTCTTCAGCCCGATCGATCTCATCCATCCATAGCATGCAGCCTATCATCCCCCCATCACAGCATCAATGTTAGTGTCCTGGCTTCAAACTCTCTTTCCGGCAAGAGGGTGTGTTGAGAGTGAGAGGCTATGTGAGAGTGAGAGGCTGTGTGAGAGTGAGAGAGTGTGTGGGTGAGTGAGTGTGTGAGTGAGCGGGTGTGTGAGTGAGTGCGAGAGTGAGTGAGAGGGTGTGTGAGTGAGAGTGTGAGTGAGAGGGTGAGAGTGCGAGTGAGAGGCTGTGTGAGAGTGAGAGGCTGTGTGAGAGTGAGAGGCTGTGTGAGAGTGAAAGTGTGTGAGTGAGTGTGAGTGAGTGAGTGAGTGAGAGGTTGTGTGAGTGAGTGCGAGAGGGTGTGTGAGAGTGTGCCTTAGAATGTGTGTGTGTGAGACTATATGTGAAAGTGTGTCTGCGAGAGTGGGAGAGTGTGTGTGAGTGAGAGTATGCAAAAGTGTGCAAGAGTGACCATGTGCACGCACCCCCTCCCCCTTTCCCCGCCTCCTCACCTGGTCGATTTCGATCAGCTGGGCGTTGGCACCAGGCCACTCGATGGCAACCTTCACGATGTCAGACGGAGGGGGCATGGTGGTGAGACTCCAAGCCAAGGCGGGTTCTGGGGATGGGAAAGAGCTTTAAGGATTCAGAGCATCGCCTCACATCAAACCTGGAGTGAGACACACAGGGCAAAGTTAGGGCACTCATCACACCCACCAACATCCATAATAATAATAATAATCCTTGCATTTGATATCACGTCATAGAGATGTCGCAAATCGTTTCATAGAATATACTGTAAAGTGAATTGACTGTATATTTATTTTGTGGGCGAAACGCGGCAGCCAACTGTGCACATCAGTGTCCCACAAACACTGGATTGAGTGAACAATTATTTATGTATGTATTTATGTATTTATTTATTTATTATTGAGGGATTTTTACCCCGGTTAGCGATCCACCAATCGACTAACAAGCTGGTTGTTAGTCCGCCTTGACCTCTTTGCTGCTTTCGACACCATCAACCAATCTATCGTCATCCACCGCCTCTCCTCTCACCTCAACCTCTACGGCTCTGTCTTTGATTGGTTCAGATCGTACCTCTCAAGCAGCTTCTCCTCCAGCCCCTGGACCGTCTCGTGTGGCGTTCCTCAGGGCTCTGTCCTTGGTCCCCTCCTCTTCAATATCTATATGCTCCCTCTTGGTGACATCATCCGCAGACATGGGGTCAACTTCCACATGTATGCGGATGACACCCAACTCTACCTCTTTGCCTCCACCCTTGACTCCAGGACCCACTGCTGTGCTGACAGTATGTCTATGAGACATCAAGTCCTGGATGAGAGCTAACGTTCTTCAGTTGAATGTCAATAAGACCGAGGCTTTCCTGATTGGCTCCCGTCAGCGCCTCCACACCTCAGGCGTTGACAGCATCACCATCCATGGTTGCACACTCCACCTTACTAAGACAGTCCGGAATCTTGGGGTCCTGTTTGACCCTCAACTATCCTTTCTACCCCACATCTGCACCATGACACGCTCTGCCTTCCCCCACCTCCGCAATGTCGCCTGGCTCCGACACCGTCTCACACCGCAGGCCACCAAAACCCTCATACACACCTTCGCTACATCGCGGCTCGACTACCCAAACTCACTGCTTGTTGGCCTCCCCAACTCCTCCCTCCACAGGCTGCAGATCATCCAAACTCTACAGCCCGTGTCCTCTCCTGCACTGGGCTCCGCGACCCTATCACCCCCATCCTCGCCCAACTCCACTGGCTTTCCATCACACAGAGGATACAGTTCAAGATCCTGGTCCTCACCTTCAAAGCCCTCCACGGTCTTGCTCCCCCCTACCTCTCTGACCTCCTAACCCCCTACCATCCTGCCCGCTCCCTCCGCTCAGCAGGCTCCGGCCTGCTTCATGTCCCCCATTTCGCTCGCCCCACTATCAGTGGGCGGGCCTGCCGGCACTCTGCCCCCACCCTCTGGAACTCCATCCCGCAGTCCCTCTGTCTCGTCTCCTCCTTCGCCATCTTCAAGACCCACCTCAAGACCCTCCTCTTTGACAGTGCGTTCGATCTCCCTGCTTCCCCACCACTGCCCTCCCCCACCCCGACCCTCAGCTCAGGTCCGTAACTCTGTCTGTCCAGCGCCTTGGGATGTCCTTCTGACGTGAAAGGCACTATACAAATGTAATTCTGTTGTTGTTGTTGGCTCCTTCCTACTGCTAGATAAACAGAGACGTGTGGAGTAAGGAAACCCACCTAAGGTTTAACCTTGCCCGGGAATTGAACCTGGATCCTCTCACTGGCGAGGCGAACGTTCTGATACTGCAAGCCAAAGCCCTAATGGGTAGGCTGGTTCTAGCTGGACAGGCATCGGGAAAGTTTGCCAGACAACAGTAGCAATGAGATTTTAGCTGGTTAGAATCGAGCAGTTACCCCAATGCACACTCTGGGGTCCTCAAGCCTCGGCTCTTGCCAACCAACACCTAATACTTTCTGGAATTAGGTAAGTTGGATGAGTCCCTCCAGGGAGAGAGTGCACATTCCATTCCCACAATCTATCTCTGGGATTTCCATGTGTCGGTGGGTTGCGTGGAAATCTCAGTTTGGTTTAGATACTCTTAAGCCTGGTGATGGGTTTCCGTATGTGTCAGACACCCGGCTAAACAAACAAGGACATATTTCACTCCCGAGTAAATGTCCAGCATGAGAGAAAGGGAGCTGGGTGTCAACGGCCGAGCAGTTATCAGCAGCTCAGTTGCAGCACAAAACGTTATCACGGCTTCCAATCGGCCTCATACTGACAGGGGTACAGTGCCACACACACACACACTGCCACACGCGCACACACACACAGTGCCACACGCTCGCACACACACACACACAGTGCCACACGCACACGCACACACACACAGTGCCACACGCACAAACACACACAGAATGCCAGACACACACAAAGTGCCACACACACATGCATACACACACAGTGCACACACACACACACACACAGTGCCACACGCACACACACACAGTGCCAGATACACACAAAGTGCCACACGCACACACACACAGTGACACCCGCAGTGCCGTACCGAAATACACCCGCCTCTCGGAACTTAAAAACGTTCGATATCAGACAAACACAACAGCGTCTGTTGTAAGAACATCGCTTCCCTCGACATCTCCCCCCTGCCCCACCCCACCCCCGCCCCCAAGACCCCGCAACAACCCCAACCACACACAATAACTCACTGATAGATCAGCAATATCCAAGGGCCATCTGTTTTGATTTTTGTTGTATTTAGTCACTGAACCATCATCCTGATCCCATCAGCCACTGTTACTTACATTCGCGTCTCCTCCCTGTCCTCTCTCTCTTCCCCTCTCTCCCTCTATCTTCTGCAGTGTCTCTCTCCTTCTCTCTGTCTTTCTCTCTCTCTCTCTCTCTCTCTCGCTGTGCTGAGCTCAGCCGGCCTCACACGGCTGCTTTTCATTCATTTCACCTCCACGAAGCTCTGTGTCTCTACAACTTCCTTCCTTGCGCAACTCTTGAAGAGGCTGTGGTTTTGGATGGTTGACACGGGTGATGTACGTGAAGCAGCTTGCATTTGGAGCGATGAGCACACACTTTCTCAACATATCTCACCACTTCCCATTCCCTCCCTCCCTCCCTCCCTCCCTCGATACAGGCTCAGGCTGCCTGTGGGCGCACACCAGGTAAGGCACACCCAGAGGGCAACAATATGGTCACTGACGTACAACCTGTCACCACTCACTGCCCAGGAAATCCACCTGGAGTGCTGTGTCAACAGCACAGCATCGGCCAGTGTGTCAGGAGAAGAGGAGAAGAAACTGGAGGGAGGAATAACGATGATGAAAATATAATATAATCTTGCATTTGGTATGGCACCTTATCATGTCGAAAGGACGTCTCAAAGCATTTCACAGGATTTACTGTGAAATGAAGGGACAACGTATTGTGGGCAAAAGCAACCACACAATTGCACACAGCACTGTCCCACAAACAGCCATGAAACAAGTGACTGTGGTATTCCAGGACACTGCTAATGACAGCAGAGCCTAGCCTGACTCATTGGCAGGTCTTAGAAGTGCAGACCAGTCAGTCTCCAGGGAGCAGGGATTCTTCCCATTCAGCTCCTGTTAACCCTGCAAGCCAAAACCCTAAGCAGCTGGACAAGTAGCGGGAAGCTTGCCAGACAGCCCTCTCAATGGAAACCTCTTGACAAGCTGTGACTGAGACTATCCGGAATTGGGAAGTGACTATCTGCGTGTCCACCTATAGGACTGATAAAGGGACCTGGGGCTGTCCTCACGCACAAAGACAGACACACGTACACGCCATTAATATCCTATTGTTTTCTTTTCCACGAAGGGACCAGTCCCAATTAGTGCATATTTCTGTAGAGTAATTGACAATTAACCATTGACATTGATTTGGTGTGGATGTGGGAGTATGTTTGGCACCATGTTTCCAGTACGCAGTAAGATTGTTTATCAGCAGGATGGTTCCCTATTCAGCCAGCGAAGTCAACAGTCATTTAAATTCAGAAAATGAGGAAGAGGGTGAAACACGTGCATTTAGAAAAGGGAACACCAATCAGCAGTGGTCGCTGAGGAGATAAAATGATTTCCTGAATTCCCTTTGAAAACCCGGCTCATTCTGGATTGCACAAGATTGAAACCTCAAAGGCATGACCACACACATACTTCACAACTTGTCCACTATATAATTCAAATCCATTTAAATCTCAGTGTTAAACTCAACTGCATTCACAAATTGTTTGTGCTCCATTTGAAAGACCCCCACCCCCGGTACAAATTGTCCTTCAGATTAGACGATAAACCAATGTTCTGTAATTCCCTTTACTTGTTCAGGTGGACTTTAAAGATCCCACTGCACGACTCAAAAAGAGAAGGAAGTTACTCTCTGCTCGTGTCTCCCTTCGAGCCTGTTCCGCCATTCTGTTAGATCATGGCTGATCTGTACCTCAACTCCATTAACCCTCCTTTGCTTCATATCCCTTGGTAACCTTATCTAACAAAAATCTTGAAAACTGAAACTATTTTCTCCATGAGCTATATTTCATGCTTTGCTTGACGCAAGGTCGATAGTCGCTGTCCATGCGAAGAGCCATGTGTTGGGAATCATGGAGTCATACCCAGACATTAGCCATCTCCTTCAGGAGACAAACAAAACATGTCTGTGTTCTGGAACACAGCAAAGGAATAAAAAACCTCAGTTCCGAAGGGGGTCACATTCCCTCATGTCTGTGCCACTGATAAATTTTCTATCAGTCCATTCCCATAATGTTTTACTGCTCAGATGTTTATCCAGCTGCTTTTTGAATGATTCCATTGACCCAGTCTCAATACCAGTAGTGTCAGAATGAATTCCAAACCAAACCCTAATGACCCTCTTAAGTGAAGAAATTCCTTTCATCTTCTCCCTTAATCATAACTGATTCCCCCAAAAAAGAAAACAACCCCCCCCCACCCCGAATCTACCCTATTTTGAGACGTCGGAAAGCGCTTCATAGAATATACTATAAAATGACGTTTGCCAGACACAGTGCCAGATTTTATAAATATATAAAATGTATATTTTGTAGGCGAAATGCAGCAGCCAATTAATTGTGCACAG